AACCCAACGGCAAAAAATAAAACAGAGTAATCAAGAATTAGCATATTTCTTAGTTAGTCCCGGACAATAGCATCACAAGGTAGAATAGAGTTGGGCTAGATGAAGTGTCATTCTCACTATGTTAATAAACAAAAACATGTTTTATTCAATCATCATGCATATTGAGTCTGATTTTACAAGATATTGTGTTGTGCTTGCTTGTAATCCAAAAAGCCCAAGAAACATAGATATATTGGAATGTTAAGTAAACTTGGATTTTTTTACTAAATTGACTTTTCCATAACAAAGATGAATGTGGTTGGTTTTTATTGGTTTTTGTCTCTATTAGTGGAAAAAATAAATCTGAAAGTCATTTTTTTCCATGATGATTAGATTGGATAAATAAATTTTGTAAATGCTTGGGTCTATTTAACATTCCCCATATTATATATAAATAAATAATTAGAAGTCCAAGCAGAATTCTTCAGGAACGACGATGTTCAGCGTGAAAGCAGGATGTTCACGTCCGGAGTGTGAGCTCCGGCCACGTGGCGAAAGGAACAAGGAGGGCAGGGGAGTGGCGAAGGCGGGCTATAGTTGCAGTGAAAAGGATTGAATGGACAGCGAAGATTCCTTGCGCCCCCACCCGTTGACACACTGTTGCACTAAAAGCATGGAAGCGCCGCTGATGGATGAATGATAACGGTTGTGATACATGCATTAATGGATGTAACATTCTGGTGGGTGGGGTGTGGGCCCTCCGGGGGCCGCCATAAAGACTAGATCTGCGGCTGCTTCGCCAAAGTTACCGCTCCCGGGCTCGTACTTGCCCCGGTGCGACTCCCTTTAAACTGTACACCGTCCAGTTTCTAGATGGGCCGGTATTGGCGCAGCCAAACTCTCTCTCTCGTTCCATGGCTTGCTTGGTCACTCCAGCGCTTCACATATTGTAGACCCTCGCCCTTGAAAGGTTGGATGCATATTGTCCTGACTCGCTTCCTGAAGGACTCCACTACCACAGATCGGGACATCAGATCAAAGTCTACATAACTGGGTGGGAGATCTTTTCAGCGTAGAAGCATTCGAAAGCGAAGTGCGAGAGAGAGAGAGAGAGAGAGAGAGAGAGAGAGAGCGAGAGAGGGTGGAAGACAAATGACTGCGTTTGGCGGCGTGAAACCGAGGGCAAGGCAATTCAGGAATCTCTTTGCTGCGGCTCTTCTAGGAATGGTAACTGTGCTCGTCGGATCGGGGCCCCCGCCAATATTGGGTCCATCGCACCCGTCGGACTGGCACCATGTCGAAGAGGTGCCATGTTAAGACATGGCTTAAAATGGAAAAGTGAGACCCTCTCAAGGAACAGTGGAAGGTCAGGCTGGTGGTGGCACTAGGTGGGCAAACAGGAAGAGGAAGCCAATCATGAATTTTTAAAGGCGGCTCAGACCTGGAGACCCCAGAACGAGCTCTGGTGGTTTTGGTTGCGCTGGGGTCTAGAAGCAACCACGCGTCAATCTCCTTGCTGCAAACCTTGGGGTTGACTTGTATCTGTCGCGCGGCGATAATCCAGTGAACACCAGCTGGTGTACACCGTTGGTGAAGAAAGTGCGAAAGTCTTCTTCGACTGGGTTTATCGCAGCAAAGCTCATGACGCTGGATCCTCTGCTGTGAGTCCAGGTTCTTTATAAGTCACGTCTGACGATGCAATCCCCAGTCCTATCGCAACGAATCGCATCGCATTGTCATCCATCTTTCTCTCTGACTTCGAATGAAATGTTGCAACTTCGGTGAAAGTGAATGCCGAAATGCTTCTCGCGGAAGGCTTTCGAGACAGCAATGTGGAAGCTTTGAAGACAGTACCGCTGGAGCATGAAGAAAGAGTGGGTTCATGTGGCCATGTCCTTAAAATCATTATTTTTATAACAAACATATTATATATTCAAATCAGAGAAATAAGCATTTTTTCACGTCTCTTAAAATGAGTTTAACACACTTGATTTTACCGTGTGTGCGGTAACAAAATTTAGAATACCTGTATATTCAAAAGCTACTATGCTGCAAAGAGACTTCGGTTTTATATACATACGTACACATCTAAAATTTATATGATGTAAATTATATAATTCATTAAATAATTCTGAATAAGTTTTATTCTTCAAGCTAAACCTATATATATATATATATATATATACACACTCATTTAAATTATTACACCTGTATAAATTTTAATGTATTTGTTTTGATTCTATTCAAATATGTCATAAAAATCATGTATTAGTTAATAAATTGTTGTAATAGTACTGAAAATTTCGACTTGGATTAATTTTCAATTGGAAAATGCACTTGAATTATGTGGACAATATTAATAAGTTAAGAGTACATGAATAATGTTTTTGTTATAAACCACATCGTATTCTATGTAATTCAGTCATGTTATAAATTGAAGGCATCTTATAAATTGAGATCAAAACCCAAACCATGGATATATATAATAAGGACATGTAAAAACTTGTTTTTCAAACTACAATGCTTACTTACACATGCAATTTTTATGCATGCATCCACAATAGTATAAGCATTTTTTTTTCATTTCTTTTCTTTCTGTCATTGCATTGAGAATTTGAGGTGACTCTGATGGATGGATTTGTTGCATACGCTGGATAAGAAAAGAGAGAGTTATAGAATGTTTTCTAACAGCATAATGACAACTAGTCAAGTTGCAGATCATGACAAGATGAAAATGTGTAACCAATTTTCCTTTCCTAAATATAATAACACAGTAAGTTTATGTATATAAAAAATAAACGTTTCTTGTGAAATGAAGATGTGAGCCCTAACCAACCTCCTACATTATATGAGATGAATAGCTCAATCATGATTTCTTCAAATGTATACATATATGATATATGAATATATGTATATAGTTAACTGAAAGTAAAATTTAACATGTATTGATTGAAAGTTAAGGATGTTTCCAATTGATTGCTTAAATTGCAAATTTTCAACCATATGGAAGTAGTATGAAGTATCGATAAAACACAAATAAATAATGCCAATGTAATAATATGCTATTTTCTTTGTGGCATTATTTTATCAAAACAATGTATTATTTGAAATCTGGTTATTAAATCAACAATCAACCAAATAAACAAATAAAAGGTACGAATATCAATTTGAAAACAAATGAGAGGCTAAATTAATCTAATGAAAATTTGAGAATATCAATCACCAATGAAACAAAATGAGAAAGAATGGTGTCAGAGACACATTAGGGTCACATTTGCACAGCCAAACTTCCTCGTTGAGCATTATTTGGACGAGATTCTTGGGAAATGATGTATCCTAAAATATATAGAAATTATACTCCTCACAAGAAATTATACTCCACATCATCAGCAGAATAAACAACATTGCTTGTACGTTTGCACTCTACGAAATGGACAGTTCGCAAGCCCCAAGCCAGTTCCACACCCAATTCCAGGCCGAATCTGCATCCTCACTTTCCACACTCCAGGACCAATGACAGCCATGCGATTGATCTTCAATCCATCCGTTGTGGGTGGGCCTCGAACGGGCAGCCTACTTAAAATTTCCCAAGCGTCCCGAAACTCGAGGCAATGATATCCAGAAACGCAAAAACAAAGGGACGAAGACAAAAAAGCTCAGTTTATTCTCCTCGGGCAGAGAAGAGAATGACGGGCAGCGAAAGCGGGCAGTGGATTGGTCTGGACTCTGATGGGGCAAATCATCGTGGCCACTAAATATGGGGCAGTGGGCAGCGAGGAAGAGTGGGCACAATTGCATAAGCGGGCAGAGGGCAGTGGAGAGAATTTTTCCGCCATATTCACCCATCATGGGATTGTGGAGACTAGTCAGGCAAGCTCATGATCAAGAGGAGTTAATGCTGCTGACGCTGCCGCTCTGTCCAGATTTAGGGCGCTGAACGGGTGCAGAAGCATCTGGCCCCCTTCCACCCGGCTACTTTCTGTCCCGGTTCGGGTCATCGCTGACCGCCTCGCCCACCTTCCAAGTTCATTGAACTGGTCAGTTCCCAAACGTGGGCACTCGTTTTCATCCAAATCGCAACCGACCTCCCCTATCCTCCAGCTCAACCTCACCCATCAACGTATTTCATCCGTCGGTAGAATCGAAGACCTATTCCGTCATCGTAGCACGGCTTCCATTCAGGGACCACTAATTTCGTCCGTCTTCAGGTCTCCAGAACGTTCGTTCACGTCCGTCACTGTTTTGTGAGGTGTCTGTCGTTTGGATTCGATCGTCGCTTGTCGTCGTCCCCCCTGTCCCAAGTTAACGTCCCTTGGCCTCCGAAAATCGGGTTAGTGCAGCCCGTGGAAAAATTCTCATTCGCCCACACTATAAGTATCACACACACTAAATGGAGATGCAATTTTTAAAATTTTAAATATCACTTAGTTTCGTGCTAACGCCAGAATATCTGCATTGATCGAGTTCGACACGTCTTTCCATATGCTCCAGATGTGTGTTGGCAGGCCGGACAAAAAGGGAGTCAGAATTCTAAAGGCAAAAACATATAGCAAAAGCGAGAAAGTAAAAGTGAAAGGAAAGGTGTGGGTGGGGCTGTGAGCATACACTGAGAGCGACTATGTTAATATAGTATGGGTTACTATGATGGGAACGAATGAAAGAATAATTCGTACATCCACCGCAATTGGGAGGGGCGAGGGGGGCATCCATCCCCCACGGGGTGGCGGAGGGCGGAGAAGCGGTGCGGAAGTGAAGTTAGCGAAGCTGCAGCGAAGGAGCATATGAAAAGGTGACGCTAGAGAGGGGCCGAGACAAAAGGGATGAATAGGAACCACCTCCTGGTCCCAATGCACACAGTCACATCTTTGTACGTATACGCCGTACTATGTTTCCACCGCCTTTCGCTTTGGCTATTTCTTAGAATTCTTCGAGGGTTCAGGTGATTTCCGAACAGATTCGGAGATTCTATACACTGCCAGTCCAAAGGCATCCTCCTCATGCTTCGTTGCCAAACCAGGGGATGCGCACCATCCTAGCCGATATTATAATAGATCCGCTTCTGGGCACCGACTTGCTTTTAGGAGCACAGCTCCATTACCGCGATCCCATTTGCCCATCTTCTCCCGCTCGGTTCAATCCAGTCCGATTTCGTCTGCCCCATCCCCATCCCGTCCCCGCCTCTCGCCCATTCCGCTATATCTCCCGGGCGCAGTCCGTTCCTACCCTCACTCGGTCTTCGAGATGATCCGAGCGGTGTGGTGAGAAGTACTTCGAAATGGGTTCCAAGTAGTTGGAAAGCAGTGTGCACGAGTGAAAGCTATACCTGTAGTGTTCCCAAGTGTTGAACAGTGACGGTTGCTGATGTGGGAGGTGCGAGCTTCAGTTGGTTGGTCGGTCGGTCGGTCGGTCGGTCGGTCAGTCGATCAGCTGCACTAGGACTTGTAGGAAACCTGAAGGTATTGCTCGACAACTCGATTCAGCCTACACTTTGAACTGTGCTGTGGGTCGGTCAGGATTGTTGTTGCGGGTGAATATTTCGCTTGAACAGGTGCCCTTGAATTGAGTGTGCAGTCGCAGAGTGTAGGTTTTCGTATTCCTCTTCTACTGTTTTCTTTTTTCCTTCCCTCCTGTTGTATGTTTTGTTGGATAGGACGTGTGTTGCACATTTGTAGCGTGGCATGGTTCATTGGAGTAGATCGAGTAGTTTTTAACAGAACGCCGAATGATTATGGAAGTCATATGGGAGTTTGGTTTTGCTTACAACAGCTTGATCAACTCTGGTTTATGGGAAGTAGTGTGAGAGAGGGATCAAGGTCGTTTACGAGAGGGGGTGAAAGGTTCGAATGGAACTATTGCAATGTTTCGGCACGCATTGCATGGTCGGTGACTACGACCTGGCTTTCGAATGCTTATTTAAGCGTGACAGGGAGCGTCGACATTGAAATTTGCTCTTCCGTTCGATTCTCTCTTTAATTTTAGAAAACAAACCGCCGCACTGCTTGTGGCGCATGAAATAATGGGCGAAGTTTTTATTTTTTGTTTTGGGACTAGTGAAACTATTGTCGGAGAACACACTCGAACGTAAAAGCATCAGGATACGCATGAACATTAGCGGAAATTGGTCAAAGGAACATAGTGAAAATGACCCAAATTTGAGGAGTATTAGTAGGTTTTAATATATTAGTTCCTAGAGGGTATTTTGCAGTGGTAGACGTTTTAGAAGATAAATTTGAAACATGGCTTAGACTTGAGAGCAATCTAGTCTTCGTGTCGAGAGATCAGTGTGGATATTGATGAGTTTCATGTGGGATATTATGATGTATTTTGTTTTCGACAGCAACGGTTCAGGAAATGTTTGAGCTCAATTCTATCGTCCTTTTGTGACGATCTGGATTTCCCTCGATTATTATTATTATTATTATTATTTTTACGTGTGTAAGTTATGTCGTGTAGACCGTTCAAAGAACCCAGCACGGGTGTAAATATGAGATATGCATGATGTAAAATGTTCTAGGGTCTCAGTGCAACAAGTAGACGTCGCTTATCAGTCTGGAAATGGTGCGCAGGTGAATTTATGGCTGGGTAACGCAGCACAGATAGTCGTCCTAGTTGGCGCGCGTTTTCAAAAAAGTGACTAAAAGTTCAAGGTTTGTTGAGAATGTGTGGTAAGAGCGTGGCTGTCATGGATGGAGCCGCGAGCACCATGATACAGAGCCACCGAGGCACTTCCCAAGCGTCTTATTCTTCAGGTAACTTGTATTTTCAGAATGCTTCATTCTTCTCTTCCTCTTACCACCGCCTAAGCCTGTGCCGTATTTATTAGTTCCACGCAGTTTTAGCAGCTAGATCGCTTTCTTCACTATCTACTCCCCCATTTGTCCCCGCTCACAAACACTTCGCGGAGATCTGAACGAATAGATGAGTGAGCTACTGGAGTATAGCAGGTTGATTTTGTCACATATCAGTTTGTTTTCAAGAAATTTTCAAATTTACACCCTGTTAAAGAACCTTTAAAGCGGCTTGAGCAAAAAATGGGCTAAAATATTTGGTGCAGGGTATGACATCCAAAGGGCATGGGGTAGACTGATGCGCGGGCCGCGGGTTATGTTGTTCCTTTGCCTCTAAAAGCAAGCGGTCGCTTTTTCTTTTCCCTTATTACGAGATCGAAGATATTACTTGGCAGATTAAAATGAAGAGTATTTACACCGAATGTATATTTGATCGACTCGTAGGAGATTAATTTAGCTTTCCGATCTAAGCATCTAGGCGGTCAAAGTAGCTGATTTTGTGAAATTGTTGGTTGAATCAGGAAGGAGTGCTGTGGATGAAGAGATCTCGGCGATGTTGCACAGTGGAAATTACTCGCACATTAGTCAAGCACCGCTTGCTGTGTCCGTAGGACTAGAACATTTTCCTTATTCTGTGTACCAAGGTTACCCAGGTAATCAAACTCGACCTGTTCCGACGACGCAACGGAATACAAACATGCCTCGGGGAGAAATAGGCGACGGGAATGCACATGTTGGGCCTCTACTGCACAGAGGATCTCCTCCTCGGCATTCAACTTTCAACTTGGAAGAGAAATACGTGTTGGAAGCTAAAAGCGAAGCGTTGGACGCAAACGTACTGCGGAATGGTGCTACTTATGGCACAATCTATGAGAATTCGAGACCATCGGCGATGAGCACGACTGTGCCCTTGCTGCACCGCTACCATTCAGCTCCTGCAAGCACGTATTTGACCCAGATGAATGAGGAGCAGATCGGTAACACCGTTATGTCTTCGATTTTTACGGATGGAGGGCTCACCCCCATAACAGAAAACATGGACGTTGAGCGATTGGGCTGCGGGAACTCAAACTCGAACGAATTCGAGCATTACTTAGCCCCAGAGAACGATTTCAGTCGCCGGGCTGCGTTTTCGGCTCTTCACAGGGAAGAGGCAACGCCCGATTCCTTTGCGACCACGTTCCAGAATTCCAAGAATGCGGTGTTATGTCAATCAAGCTTATCGTCTGCTGGGTTGTCGCAACCCAATATATCCATGCAAGATAGGATGGCTGAGAATGGCTCGGAAAAGAACAGCTCTCGCAACTCGGACGATAATAATCACCTGATTAGCGGTTACGCGGCATCGATATATTCTCAAGAGGACTGTCACTGGAAATCGCCTACAAGTCCAGGTATTTATTGCGACTCGGCACTTTACATTCGCTTCCAGGGTTTTCTATTAAGTACATAGTATTGTATTCCTTTAATGGTACAATCCGTAGTATCAGCTCACGAATTTACTACTTCTTCGTCGTGACAGCCAAGAGGCAACGGGGACTGGACGGCGAGAGTGAAACCTCGAGCGGCTCAGTCGAAGGCTCGACGTATCGGAAAAGCCAACAAGGTGGCTTAATCCGTCACATGAGCTTACCACACTCAACCAACGGAGATTCTAGTAGCCCAGGAGTGGAGGACAACACCTTCCACACGGTCCCTATGCGCACCCGTGCGAAACGAGGATGCGCCACACACCCCCGCAGCATCGCAGAGCGCGTGCGCAGGACGAAGATCAGCGAGCGGATGAAGAAGCTCCAGGACTTGGTTCCCAGCATGGACAAGCAGACCAACACCTCCGACATGCTAGACGAGACCGTGGAGTACGTGAAATCGCTGCAGCGACAGGTGCAAGAGTTGAGCGACACGGTGGTGCGGCTTGAAGCCGCCGCAGCACAAAAAGTATCAAATACCTCTCATAGCCCAGAAATCGCATAGACCTCTAGTATTAGTTTAACTTTAGGTAGATTATATGACGAAGTTGTGATCCCGGAGGGGGTTCGAGTGTAACATATTGCGACGATCGGTGCCTGAAGTTGGTATGAATGCCCCTTTCGAAGTTTGTACAGAATTATCTCTTAAACTCAACATCATCTCTCGGTTCCCTTTCCGACCACTTCTACTGTAGGTGGCAATGAATCTCTTTGCCACAGATCTTTTCAGATTTTCAGATCCGTCAAAAGTATCTTGCAACTCCTAACCCTTACAGTGTAGATGTGACGCAAGCTGATGCAAGTATGAATTGTGGGTCATGAACTTGCCGGAGCATTTGCTCACTAAACAACAGAAGAGATTGAATTGTAACGTTCTTCGACGACAGTCGACGTCGAAACTGGATGCGACTATGCTAGTCACTGTGGACAGCATGAAACCAACGACCGATATTTATTCACATCCCGCAATTGGGTATTGCACCCACAGACACCTCGCTTGTGAGGATTTTCGTTGGACGCAGATCCCCACACCTTGAAATACTCTTCTAAAAAACCGTAGCGTTGGTTACAGACACAGATATATATATATATATATATGTATTTAGCTCTTGCGAATGAAATGTGAGATGGGTCTGATCCCGCACGCGATCGCTTCGTTGCACTTCGGTTTCGACGCTCTTTACGGAACATCCACCGCAACCTGTTCGCTGCTGTGTGTGGCTTGGGTCCAATCCATCCGAACACCGATGGAATCTTATCATTGTCATATATCTCAATATGGATGTTGTTGTACCGCCGAAGGCTCGGCTGATGAGAGGCCTTCTGGACGGAATCAAAACTCCGTTTACGGTGGACACAACAGCCAGGGACCCATCATGTCATTTATATACTTAAATTCCATTCTTTCTATATATATATATATATAATATTTTAATCTGGTTTCTTTGTTTGTTCTGTGGCAAGCTGCCCATCGTCTTTCTGGCAAGCAACAGATTCAAGTTGGTACAGTGATGAGTGGCATTCTTGACCATGACACCATATCACATGATGTTTAATTGTGGCGTCAGGGGCTCATCCACATGCTGACATAGATTTTTTTTTCTTCTTAAAATTCAGTGGCACATGAAGTACCCACTGGGTTGCCACGTCAGTATTATTAATATCAACTTTTATTATTTATAGAATAGATGAAAGTTGTCGGACTGGATGGCGTCGCTAGCATTGGATGTAGCCAAACTTTATGCTGCGACTTTATCTGGGAAAATGGAAGTTTGGGTCATTAGACACCATAACACCAATAGATGGTGTTTATTTATTTTCTGTTTAATTTTTATATTTAATTTTTAAAAAATCAGTTTATGACACGAATGTTTAGACAAAGACTTATTATAGTGTTTTTATTTTTCCTTCTGTTTTAAAACCTAGTGGATACAATTGTAAAGCCATTAATACCTACTAAATTTGATTATTTTTTCGTTTTTTATTTTTAGATTTTTAATATATATATATATATATATATATATATATATCTGAAAAGCAAGAATTGAATATTTTTTGATTATATAATTTGTATCTAAAAAATATTTTTATATATTTGGAAAAAAATCATGGTCTGTAAGAATGGTTCTTTCTTTTATGATTAGTAATTTTAAAAGATAGCTCGTAGTCTATTTTTAGAATTAATTGCAACACAATATATTATATTAAGAGGTTTGAAGTTACATTTTTCTTTTTAAACAAAACACAGAAGTTAATAACAATATTCTTGAAGGCACTTTTGGATTCGTTTGACATGTTCTTAAATATACTCTAAGTAGAGATTTCCACTTAAATTTGCTAAATTTTTAATATTAATAGATTAAAATTTAGCCTCTTTTCATAATATGTACAAATTCTGTAAGTGATTTAAGAAGAGTTTGTTAATTGTAGATTTATGACTATCTTAGGATTATTAAATTTAATAAAGAAGTGTCTTCTATTTAAGAATTTGTTGACTATAAGTATATTGTCAATGTTCATTTGAAGTTGATTAAACTAATGCTTTAAGTTTATGCTTTGAAGTTTCTCACCTATAAAACTAGTAATTATTATAAATTTACCTAAGTATTTTATTTCTTACTTAACTATCCTTATATCTACTTCAATTAAAAAATTTAAATTGCATACTAACAAACTTCCAACATTGTAAAAGTATCTAAGAAAAAACATTTGAGTTGGATTTTTGTTTTGTGCAAGTCAATGATTTTGAGATAGTTGTCCACTTTTTGATCTTGTATAGTTATGTCTTGTATCTTTTATATGCTTTGGTTCACCATATTTGTCTACCATTCTCTCTTTTGTGATTTTGAGTGGTACATTTGTTGTACCAAACATAATTCTAATATCACATAGCATTTTTTGTCTTTAAAAGATAAGGCCTAAATTCACTTCATGCAAAGATTACATTAGTCATGAGAGGCATCTAAACATGAAATTAAACACTATAAAATAATTAGAGAATTATTAATGCTACATCCCACCTAACCTCCTCGTAAACAACTAGATAATAGTGTGTTTCTTTTATTTGCACATTTTCCCCTTTCTTTGCTTTAAAAAGTAGTGTTGGTTTAGAAAGAGAATGATTATTTTATTTTAAAATAGGTCTTAATTTTCTTTTTTTAATTATAATACATAATAATTGTCTCAAAACTATTTAATACATATTTTCTTGTCAAAACTATATTTTTTTGTTAAATATATATATATATATATATATATAATTTATTTGATTTTTGAGTCAATATTGGAATACCAAAGATGCCCTAAACGTAGAAGCACAGTTTTTAGTCAAGAATCTGAGTTGCGGTGCCTCTGCTGGGGCCGCGCATCCATCACCGTCAGAGATTGGGTACTTAGAAAGAGAGTTCTCGCATGGTCCACGCTGGGACCAACGAGGTCGGGTTTTCGATGACGCCATGCTTAGCATATCCCCCGCTATGGAGAGTCGGACAGTAGGCTGACGGTGCAACGCAATACGAGATTCCCTTGCCCTCCTTGGCAGCAACAGCGTTGTGGAACAAGGTTCCAAAACAGTTTTCGAAGATCGATCTGCTTGCCTTTTTCGTTCTGTTGAACGAACTTGTGTCTTATTGTGAGTAATGGGTGTGGGTCTATCTCATCAGAGGTCTGCGGCCTTGGCCATGCGCGCGGTGTCTGAATTTACTTTAGACTGGATTCCAAGTTAGAGAAACTGGCAGAGCTTTGAAATGAACCCATGGTGAATTTTTTTTGGCTCCAGGGTGCTGTGATGGATGGTGATAGGAACCAGGTCATCGTTATGAAAATATCCTACGATTCTACACAACTCTTCACAGATGGAGGAGTTCTCGGAATTAAAAATTATGTCCATTTCTTCTTAGATTTTGAATGAGAATGTACTTTTGAGTTGGTAGCTTAGAGGACTTTATAATCGCAACTATTTCGGATTAGATGAAATTCAGCACTAAATCGTAGAGACTAGGGAAGAGAAAGCGCGTCCCTCATTCACTCATCACTTCTTGATAGACTCATTATTAGCGAAGGAACGCCAAACAATCAGAATCCAATGTCCAGAGGAGAGAAAAGAAAGAAGAGAAAAGAAAAAAGAAAAAAAGAAGTGATGAATTTCAAGCTCTGGGTATGGCGAAAGCCGAACCAAGAGGTGAGGATTTCATCGATTGCTGGTCGTTTCGGAATTGACGTGTTTCTTTGAAGTTTCAGGTTCGCAAGAAAATGATACTATATTAAAAAGAAGCGGCAGATTCAGATTGAACATGAAGCTTGTGGAGAGTCAATGTCGACGATCAATCGAAAGCAGTGAGTCCTACAAGGAAAACTGTCGAAGGACTACGAAATGGCTCATGTCCTTCGCATTCAGAGGTGAAGAGTAGTGACGATAGATTGTAGAAAAATCGATTCTGTCCTGCAAGCCATGCTAGGCAATTTTATTTGCCGGTTGCTGGCTGTATATTGTGAGAATAACACACAGATAAGTAAATCTCAAGTCTTTTTATCGAGACTGTAGAATAGTCTTATGTGCGTCACCTTGTAGGACGATTTCTTAACGCTGCTGTTGTTTCCCGATCAAGGCCTATTCTACATGTGATACTGAAGGATTCCAGCTGATTCAGCGATTTTGCAGCTGCAGGAGTTTGCTCGACTTCCTTGGCTAATTGGGCAGCCTAATCGGCGTATTAAGGATTCAGAACGATACAAGAAGAGCTAATCAACACCGCTGATGTGATAACCCGTTAACATATCTACGACGTTTATGAAACTCATACGTCCAATGAAAGCATTCTCAACATTCACTGCAAATGTTAACCATTCAGCTTGCAACGACGAGGCTGAAGGTCTGGCATACGGTTTAGCATTGAAGAATTTCTGGGCCTAACATTGTGCCCAACGCACTGCTCCCGGCTCACGACATTCATAAGCAGGATGCAAATTAGTAAGAATTATAGTGGCAAGTTCTTTCCAGCTTTTTTCCAAGAATCGTCAAGAATCGTTAACAAAGAATCCAACACTAGTAGCCTCTGAACGCAGACAGTGTTCCACTATAATTATAAGCAATTTAGCAAGGCAGGATAGTCTATGACCTAAGTGAATTCATTCTATACTACCACCTTTCGTAAGAAAATAAATTCCTTCCGCAGCTGTCCAGAGATTATCCGAATTCTTCCTTGTCACTCCGCACACCTCTTGTTGATCTAATTGGCTGAACTTCTTGTTATGGCTGTGAAGGTAGCCATTGGTAGCAACGTGCAGAAACCTAACTTGCTGACCTAGTGTCCAGACGCTCCCCTTACCCTCGATTTCCAGTTTCCAATAGTCACCAGAGTCAGATTGCTCATCTCCTCCGAAGGCACTAACCTCAAGGTTTCCAGTAATGGGAGATCGATGTTCATGACTGTGGAGCCATTTGCGCGTCCGCGCATGCTGGAGACGCACTAGGGCACCATTCGAAATAACATCGCCTTGCTCATGCTCGTGATCTTCGTCTACTATCTGCACCCTCCAGTAACTGTTAGAGTCCTCAACGCCTGGGAAGGCAGTCACGGATTGTTGTCCACTGCCAGTAGCATAGGGGACGTCGTGCGAGTGCAACCGGTACTTGGTGCGTAGGTGCATGAGCTTTATCACACTTCCATGTGTCACCTCCTTGGCCTCAGTGGCGGCCTCGACAGGCGGGGGGGAAGAATGGAAGATAGCCAGGAATGCAACTAGCGCAACCGATAGCAACGTCATGGCACACGCCAATTGCAAGAATCCCAAGCTCTCGTACCAAGGAGTCTCTGATTTCACTAACCTTGACCTAATATGCCGTTCGTCCTGTCGAGGTACCTTAGCCTGCGATTTCGCAACCTCCCTCAAAAAACCTTCAAGCTCACGCTTTCGAGCGACTGCCGTAGGCCGAGACCGAACCCCGCGTTCCGAATTCAACGACTCTTCCGAAAGAACTGCACTCTGGGGCGACGTAGGTGTCAGATCTACAGGCGCTGCGGCGACATCAGGCCCCTCGCCGTCTGAGCCCATCGCCGCCGCATTCCCGCACACTGATAATAAAAAATATATATATACAAAATGAAAAAACGAAACGAAACTCACACAACAATAACTCGAATCCGCAAACTAACTCTTCACCCGTAGAAACTAACAGAGACAATTCGTAATCTCTAACAAGTTCCAATCTACTCAAAAATGCTCCACGCGTAGGTACTGGTTCTGCATTTCACGACCAATGCTGAATTCAAAGAACCTCAAACACCCAGAGCAGAAATAGAAACCTGCGCAGCTCACAGATCACAACATGAACAAGCTTCACAAAATTCGGAACGAGTGTAACACAACACGATCGATCGATCGATGGTCCGAGATCGGCTTCCCGAGGCATCGAGGGGAAAAACAAAAACTCAGTTGTCAGAAAATTGCTTTTAAACGTCAGGCACGTCACAATGCTTCTACGCACCCAATGAGGAGAGGCCACGTTGGACAAGGCACCCTCATTCCCGCCTGTGGAAAGTGACCGGGGCATTGATGGGAACGAATGGGGACGAAGAAAACAGACGTGCTATTCATTTGAACGGTATTCTTTACATTAGGAACTTCGTCTCGCTCCTTCCAGAAGACCTACCGCCATAGCCAGAGGGACTTCGAGGTTCGAGAGGTTTATGGAAATAGTGTTCCTATTCACAGATGGTCAGATAACCATCGCGCTCATTCGACTGCCGGGAGAGGAATTCATTTGAAGTCCTACCGAAGAGTTTGCGCTGTTTCGAGCCGTCTAGTGCCTGGACTCGTTCGGAGAAGCCGGTCGCCTTGTGGTGGATCAAATCGATCATGTCTTCGCCAGGAGAGTGAGTGAATTGTGATTCTTAATTTTTTGTTCCGTCTTTGGACGAGAATCCGTTTTGAATTGGAAATGACATTTTGCCACAGTACTCCTCCTCGGGACGTGTTGTCTGAGTGTATTTACGGGGTAGAAAAATGATAAGCACTCTGTTCTTTGTAGATTGCATTGTGCTTTGTGAGATGCGTAGAGGAGCAATCATTTGGCGAAACGTTCTATTCTACTTTGTTTTCTCCAACCCTGGTGTATTTTTTTGGATGGATTTTGATATCTGAGTTTCTTTGACCTGCCCAGCGGATTGGTGCTTTCTGTTTCGTCGGTAGATTTCATGAGGATTTTAGAAGGCTTTTATTTTTGTGCCGAATGTGATGTTACTGGGTTGAAATTAGCTGAAGAAATGTTAGGGTCGAAGCTTATTCACAGAATCGCTGACAGGTCTATGTGTGATAGCTTAATTGTATACCTAAACCGATTGGAAATCCGCTTTAGGAATTCGTCAAGCAATCTGCATTTCACTCTTGATCCTTTCTATCTCGAAGACTTTCCAGAAGAAAGCTGATGGACATCTTAGTGCTTTTCTCTACCTATTACTCCGATGACCTAATATCCAGTTCACACGCCTGCCTAGCTATGTATATGCTGCAAATTTTCCAACGATTTCAGGTCTTAAATTTCTTTCAAGTCTATGATTTTCCTCATTAACTCGCTTCCCTGATCTTGCAGATGGTTCTACTCCCTTCCTCCTGTGAGCAAGACGTATGGAACTCTCTGCTTTCTCACCACGATTGCCTTCACTTTGCATCTCGTCAGTCCTGCATGGCTATACCTGGACTTCGCCTTGGTGACCAAAAACTTCCAGGTTCGTTAAGAATGGGGCTTTATGGTGTGGTTAAACTAAGTAATCGCAGTTTTTATCTTATTTTCTAACTAATGCCTAAGGGTAGCAAGGATATTTGGCCGAAAGAACTTGAACATTTTTGTGAATGATGACAAAAGTGGGAATGTTTTTATTAAGTAGGGCTTTTGAAAATAAAATGTCTGCATATAATGGATTCAGTTTTTGCTTGCAGATATGGCGTCTGTTGACTAATTTTTTTTTCCTAGGATCGTTCTCCATACCGTTTGGTGTCCGGCTCATGATGATGTGAGTATCACAACTTCTCTCACTTCCAGACTTAGTTCTGGATTTTCCTCTCATTAAGTAACGGGATTACTATCATAATCCCTATTTTAATATTTTATTTAGAGATTTTGTTGAACCTTCAGTAGTCTGCGACGAGAATGTGATGCAGAGCGTGTTCTTGAAGAACTTTATTTTGGAAGGATTGCTGCAGTCTTGTGGAAGATTTGCACGCCTGCTTTTGGTATAAAATTATGTTCCGCATTTTTAAACATGTAAATGAAATGTCTGTGATGCGGACAGAGCAAGATACGGAGTTCAATTGGAGCAGGGTCCGTTTAAAGATCGCACAGCTGATTTTCTTTGGATGATGATTGTGTCTGTGATATCATTTCTGGTAGGCTCTATTCCATGGTCCTGGCATTATGTCCTTTTAAAACGCCTAGCACAAAATCCATGTCTGCAGGCATTTGCATGACCCTTTTCTATGAATTTTTGTAATGAACACAGCTTATTTATGGAACAGGGGGAGGTTAGTTTCATTCCACAGGATTCATCTTTTTCGGTTTTGTTCTAGGATTCAGTTCTTTTGTATGTATTAGCCAGCAGAAAAGCATTTATGTTTAGCACATCTGTCTGCTGTCAGTGATTATCCTACAGTATTTACGTGTATTTAGTTACCAAGAGCACGAATTTTTTTAATTTGAAGTATTTAAACTCATGAACATATCTAATAATGAGATAGTTCACATCATTAATTTACTTAGTTATTTGTTTTTGCGTTTATCAACCATTGATAATTCCCTCTTATGGTTTCAGGTTTTGTCTCTTACCGTCCCGTTTTTCAAGTCATTTTTCTTGGGACCCTCACTTGTCTTCATGCTTCTGTATGTATGGAGTCGTGAATTTCCAACTTCCACAGTTTCGATTATGGGGTTGGTGAACCTACAGGTTAGTTCTTTTCTTCCTTGAAAGATCTTTATGGATTTTACATGTTGATGCGGGGAACTCTCTTGGTTGAAGTTCATGCCACCTATTGAGCATAAATTTTCTAGCAGTATTGGCATCCCGATATTTAGGGTTGAGGCTGAAAACCATATTATGATTATTATTATCGTTTTTTGATGTTTTCATTTTTGTCTTGTTGCATTAAGTAGCCTGAGACTGAGGGTCCTTTTCTCTTTCTTATGACAGTTTTAAAATAGCATTGACCATAAGATCTCTTTTTAATGGGCTTCTGTTCCACCTCAACTTAATGTTATGCTATGTCGAATGACGAATCTCTCATTCTCTCATCTTAAATTGATTGTTTTTCGTGATTGCAGGGTTTTTGGCTTCCATGGGCCATGCTACTGGTCAACACTATTTTTGGGATGCCTATAATGTCTGATCTTCTTGGAATAATAGTAGGTCATGTCTACTATTTCCTTACTGTTTTGCATCCTCGAGCTGGTGGGCAGGAGTATCTCAAGACTCCTACCTGGGTGTATCCTTCCAATCCTGATATTCAATTTGATTATGTACTAGATCCTTGTGCTTCAATGTCACGTGGTGTGAATCTTCGTAACCATATTCGTCCATATTGACACTCTCTAGATGACTAGAATAGGTACCAAGTGACCGGCTTCATATTGGAATCAACTAGTACAACATAGTTGCTTGTAATCAGTTGCATCAAAATTTAGACGTTCCCCTTGACAAAGACGCTTCTGCAGACGCAAACTGGCTACTAAGTGGAGTGTGGCAGGACCTGTTGCATTCTCACCTACTCCAACACCACAAGCTGCTGCTACCGCTGCCGGAGCCAGACCAGTATTTACTGGCCGAAGCTACCGCTTGAATCAGTGAGCTCCTTGACGCTTTTGCTCTCTGGCATGGATATCAGAGGCTCGTTGACCGGCTTTGTTTGTGATAGATGTACACCAGGAAGTACTCGCATGGTTCTGGTTTAGGTGACCGCGTAGGCCACTAAAGTGTCTTCCTGGAAGAAACATGAACGAGTTCAGAAGTACCAAGAAGATATCTGAATCTTTCGCCGAACATGGTGTACCTGTGGTAGAGAGAAATGCGGAGCGTTAATAGTTCGAAAATGATGTCTAAAACACTAATGCGAACCCGCGGTAATAGTCTCTGTATCCGTGGCAATTGAAGCGTACGCTCTCAAATGCGATCTCTACTGTTTTGCTAAGAAACAAATCATGAGCTCACTTAGGTTTACTCATGATTGTGTGATTGAAGTAACGTTTATGTAATCGTCCAATCGATGACTTGTACATACTTTTAACATATCTCTTCTTTTTTTGGTACTTCTTTGTATGTTTCTAACTGTTACAAATCGCATTGGTGTATTCTTGTCTTAATACAAATCTACCCGTGCAACGCTAGACCTAATTATGTGGGATTTCTCCTACAACTCTGGCGATATGTTAAATACTACTAGCCTAAATCTGTGACCTGGATATTATTTAGAGGCCGAACATACACATGGATCCTCAAGACTAAACCCTTCTATGCAGCGTGTGAGAAATCAAAAGTGATAACGTTAGGGGCTGTATTGTATTCGCTACGCCGCTCTGCCTTGATACTTATTTTAATTCCAATGATGGGTGTAGAGCAGCCCTTAATGCGGAACTAAATCATGAACAGTATATCCATCATTGCAAGAAAGTGTACAAAGAAAATGGATTGACTATCTTGCAGCAGGTAGTAATAATGAAATGACGGTATGGCTAACAGTGCAAGCGCACCTAGGAAATGTGTGGGTCTTTGCTGAAGGGAATCTCAGCATCAGCAGTTACATGGAGTTTCAACTTGCAATTGTGACACATAGCTTCACGCTCCGCAGTCAAACCAATTCAGACAGCAAACACGCTTGGAACAGACGTCAAGCACCAGTTGAGAAGGTGTTGTTCGTATAACATAACAAGGACGGACACTTTCATGACATGAAGTTTAAGACGGGTTTAGACTCCCAGCATGAATTGGCTTTTACAATTTGGTTCTTTATCCCCAGAAGAAACCAGCCCTCATCTATACCCACACCATAATCTTTGTGGAAAGTAGCCATCATGGCTTTCATTTTGGAGAGAATGATTTTCTTAGGTTGAACTTGCTTGAAACCAGCTCGTTGCAATCGATTTTGCCATTGCCTGTACGGCTCTTGCCGGTCGACTCTCGCTTGTCCTTCGCATGCAACAATATTTAAAATCTCCCGACCGAAAATCTCTCTTTCAAGGACGACTCTGTCTGGGTCATCTTCAGGAAAAGATAATTCCATCCCGTTGAAGATTGCCGAATAATGCTTCACGCTCTCCCGAAAGCGAGTCATGAAAAAAGGACCATTGCACGCTGCATTGTCCACGATGATGAAGAATAGCTGCACGGGTGGAATGTGAAACATTAGGTTTAAAAAACAAGTCAGTTTGGAACACCTCACAAGCTATTTCAAAAGGATTTTGATGTACATTTGAACGCGTAACGCGGCCTGGAAACAGACAACTTGAAGTGAACATTCCTTGCATCGACATAATGGGCCACAAGTATTCTGAGAGGTTTATTCCCACGAGTCGGACGATAACGCAACAGCGCCCAAGTGTCGGGTAGGACAAAATCCTCCAAGAGGAAGTTCTCCCAAAATAAAACAGATAATCACAAACTAAATGAGATGTAACGATTATTAATGACACAGCACAGTTGCAGACTTACCTTGGGATTTAAACTTCGAATCCTTCTCAGCAGAAGCTCACGAGGACTTGAACCCAACACAGACTCATCAAGGATGTTATGCATTTTGTGGGAGGTCACTGCAAGAACTTCATCGCTTCTTAAATTGAAATCCTTAGCCGTGAATGATTCCCATTTCCCAGCTAGAGCATGAAATTCAAATGGTACATTCCACATCTTCGCGAACTCTGCAAGCCTCCGCCCAGTTTGATGTATTTTCCAACAGGGATCGTCTCCTGGGTATGGAACATCAACACCTTGCATAGCAATACAAAATTTTCAAACAGAGTCGGGCAACATACATACGAATTCACTGCTATGTTTCTCTACATACCTGAATCTACACACCAAACGCCTGTCGCAAGCACAACTGCATCATCCTCCTTTATATGTTCTAATTAGAATAAGGGGTTGGAGATTTCGGGCACCTGTTATGCGAAAATAAGGAGGTCCTTCTGGCCTTTTTGAGAGGTGCTGGATAAGACTAGGCCATTCAACTCCGTATTGGATGCCGTAATGAACGACATGAACGCGGGTAGCGCCTTCAAAAGCATCCAATGTCATTTTCGTTTCAAAAAAATGACTAAGTTTGATGTAAGGGCAACAGTCGACATACTGACGATAAGCCTTCAACATTGTCGCAGCCGACGGGTGGTTGTTTGTAATCACAGTGTACAGCTGCTCACCGGTACCTGACAGTTTCGCTACCTGCAGGTCCAAATGAATGAAATGTTAGAGAAAATTCTGAACCCTAGCTAAAATAAGATAATTTATACAATTTGGGAAATAATCCCCTCTGCAAAGCACGCAGGGTGCTATGAGCAAACGAACAGGTGAACGAGAAAATTGTAAAAACATAAAATGCCCCCAGACCCCTTCCAGGGAGAGACTGACTAACCAGAGCTTCCATGAAATAATGCGCCATGCGCTGCATGTAATCACCATACGGTGATGAGAGGCTCCGCAGTTCTGCTAAATAGTCGGCCGCACTACCTGTCTTGCCTTGACTCACTGCAAAAGCACACCTGCACCATCGCATGTGATATAATAGTTCAAAATAGAATTAAATGTCGTAAATTTCGGAGTTGTAAACCGAAGCGATGTCATGGAAATGGGGTTCACAGTTTGTGCTTTTGGAGGGTGTTAAAAAATTCAGCTACAAGTGCTGCATGTTGAACAAAAAATTACAAAAATTTGGAGGTTGGAAAACAATTCTTCAAATAAACTAAAAAAAGAGTGGTGATGGAGTGATGTAGTACTCTAACATTACGTGAATTGCGGAAATAAACTTGACCTACATTGCTGGAACAACCAGCTTTAACGTGGGAATTTTAAAACAACTTCATGCACCCAAAAATCCACTGCAACTATCAATACAACTGTTGGCACCAAGCGACATTCTACTCAAGTAAAGGATCCTGGCTCTCCGTTTGAACCCCTGTCGAAACATAGTACATACGCAAAAGCAATCGTTGGGAAACAAGCGTACCTGTGCAGCAGATCCGTAATACTAGAGTACACAACCCTAGATGAAGACGAACTCGACCTCTCTCCTGGGGTACGAAGTAGCAGCTTGAAGTCCAGGGCCGAATTTGGAGGAGGATTTTTATTTAAATTATCCAAATAATATTTCAGACGGTCATCGAAGTGGACAACGAGATCATCTGACTCGGTAATAAACGACCTGTAATCCACGTTATCAGAATTGCTGGCACCACTTACATCCGCAATGTGCTTGCTGAGCATACGAGTGTATCCCTCCATCAACTTCAGTGTCGTGTTATCTTCAGTTGGAAGAAACGTAGTGGAAGTGTTGCTCTGGTCATTATCACCCCCGAATCCTCCTGCATCTAGAACATTAGCCTCTGAAGAAATGAGGTCGGCAATTTCCTTTCTCAAGTCCCGGTATACACTGCTGTTTTCCACCGCGTTCGTTTCTTCGGCTGATAAGATCTCATTTTTGGCCCAGTCATTAGAGTAATCTCCTCCAACGACCTCAAGGTTGTTGGTCTCATCTACAGAAGAGTCGGGGTCAATAAGACCAGCCAAATCCTTCGCCATAGCATGGATGGCACCAGTTTGCTGCATCAGCGACTTCTCATCTTCCATGTTCTCATTCATGAGGATATCATCAATGTAACGGATCATGGACTCCATCTGTCCTGCCAAATCTGCTGAGACACTGCTGCTGCCTTCAAAGTCAACAGCATCGCAATTTCCTCCAGACACAGATGCCTGTGTATCATTCGAGAGACTGCGTGTCGGAGACGGGGAAAATTGAGAGGAGTTATCACTAGTTCCGAGAGGCGAGCCTCTACCTCCTAACACACAGCCAGAATTTGATCGCGGTACGTTCGTCTTCTTGGAGATGGTTTCGAGCTTCGGCGGTGCAGTCCTCTCCAGAAAATTCGAATTCGCCTCGGGCCGGATCTTGTGAAAATAGGTTTCCCCTAATCCATCAGCAGCATCACCTAGACAAGCAGAATCCAGGTTGACCCGCTTCTCCACAGATACATCCAAACGAGGATCCGACTCGCTGCGTCTCTGCAACTTTGGTTTCTGTAACTGAAGGCATGCTTGCTGCAACAAACTCTCCAACGAAGAGCCACCGCTCCCTCTCCTTACCGGATTAGAACTGTCTGACGTCGCTTTTTCTGTCATCTCTGCATTTAGCACCCTCGACCACACTCTTCACCTGAAAGTCGACTCTATTTCTCCTCCCTCTGTAGACCTCTCCTCCAGAACTCCACCTTCAGCCACCCTCACACCACTCCATGCAAGATTCATATGCCGTAATCCGACCAAATCTGCTTAACCTGCTCAACCTACTAATCCCCTACGAATTTTCACGAACACAAACACAGGCCGTAAATCTAGCACAAGAAATCCTAATCTCATCTTCAAAGCATCAAGAATTAGCTACCGGAGTTCTACAGAAGTGACGCAACGAGCTATCGATCTTTCAATTTGCGAAAATTTCACAGACAGTGGGAAGACAAGTACTTGCTTCGCTATCCTCTCATTCTGCACTCAGCTCCCCTGATGAGAAAAAGAACAAGCCCAAACACTAAAATAATAAGCAATCTGCATCGTTTTGTCGAGGTTTGAACCTGGTCTTCCCATGAAGGGAAAGGTCTTCGGAGCTCATCGGGATGCCGGGGAATCGACGCGGGATGCGCGGGAAGAAGCAGAGCCGTCAATGTCTGTGCTCACTTTCGGGACATGGAGTCACCAATTAGGACGCGGAGTCGAGCATTGGGACGTGGATTTAGTGGCAATGTGAACGGAACCTGGAAGCTCCAGGATCTTGGGTTCGAATCCCCACGCGACAGACAACGGAGTGGATGTAAATCTGTTTAGAATTTAGTCGGTATTTGGATTCGGCGCGCTCCTATAGGCGCAAATCGTTTGCAAAATACGTCGTGGAAGAGATCACTGATTCAATTATTTGGAAAGAGGAACAGGGTTTACTAATTTTGGTAAATTGTGTCGGTCTTTAGAATATGAGTAGATGCCCATCGTGCCTCACACTTCTAGTATCTGCATCGGCTTGATATTAGACAGGGCATCGAGTGGGATTGCACAGCAAGGTTGTCCCACGGACATCCATTCATGGAAAATAATGAGAATTAAGGTAGACAACCTTTTTCTTATAACTTAAGCATTTCAGTATATATATTCAATAGGTGTAAGAATGGAAAACAACCCCTCACATAGGGAAATAGAAATTTCACACAATTTGGTCCAAAAACATAATTTTTATAACTGTTTTAGCTGAAGATTTGCTTTGACTCATTCTTGACATATACGCCAACCTAATTCCGACCAGTGGTAGGTTACAAAACCAAGAAACTAACTTTTGCAAAACTGAGATGTGTGGCACCTAATTATGTTATCAAACTTCACCTAATTCTATGTTACTTACATATGTAAATGTGTGGATGATGCAATAAAAATTGAAACATTCAGTTGTAAGTAATCCACCATGTTCAAGTTGGATTTTTGCCACTATTCTTCCTTGTTTCCATCATCTCCAAACAATATCTCACACATCCTCCATCTTTTGATCTTGCTCCAACGACTCTTTGATTAGCCAATGCATAATCAACCACCACACATGTGCAACTCCATTAATGTAAAAATTGATTTTTGATAGTTTATGCATATTGATTCTGAGTACATTGAATTGTTTATTTAGCTCACAATTTAACATTATTTCTGCTAGGCCCTCGAACTATTTCTGACCAGAAAATGTTACAACTAGTCGACAATAGGTTGCTAACCTAGTGGCAATACCCCACCCTATAGGTCAAAAATGGGGAGGGTGGTTGACAATGGGTTGGCTATTTTAGAACCAATGCCCTCATTATTATTGTTGCTGGCTGGGGTTTAACCACAAAACCCAATTTTTTCTATTATCCAACTATGTTTAAGACTGCTCAAATCCTGTCTCTTTGCATCACTCTTGTGGCTCCCACTGCAAACCCACTTGTGTGTGCAGTTTGCCTTCAAGGGTTAACACATGTGTGTTCCACTTTGGGATCTTTCTTCAACTTGAGCTCTGATTGCTTGCTTTGTTTGGTGCCAGTGTGCTTCTAGTTGATCATTTCGTGACCCGTGGCTGTTTGCCTGGTTTCGTATTAATTAGATTGAATGTATTAATTAGCAGTAGTGGCCAGCCGGACTAATTATGCAGAATATTTTTCAACTTTTTAGTACATGTGTTGGAATTTCTTTCTGTGGAATCATTGGTCTGCCCCCCAAATTGATATAATTCCCCGTTCCCGTTCAGTTGTTCTTCTGCCATTTATAGGCAGTGTCTACTGGCTCTTTAGTCTAGCCCACACACACCTCTCACACTCAAGTCTATACTTAAAATATGCCACTTCGTTTGTTCCAGACAGTCCATCGCTCACATCCACAGTGTAAGGTGTCCCAATTGGGAAAGATAGTATCAAATGAGTGCTGGTCACACTCTCGAATGAATTTTTTTGTTTGCCTGCAAACCTTCAAAGTAAATGTCAGAAGTTTCACACAATTATAGCAATAAACTGGAACTTGGTTTGAGCCCAAGTATTGATACCCAATTGGAAACACAATCCTGCTTCATCTGTTGTGCAGGAAATAATATGGCTTGTGTGAAGGCATGTGTGATTGCAAAGTCTGATTTTCACTGTGTTTTTCCCAAGTTCAAGTAATAAACGAGATTACAATAATAAAGCTAATTTACATATTCGGCAATTTAATGGGCAGTTTTAGCATTAGCCTGGACTGGTGGTTGGAAGCATAATCTTCAACTTACTTTAGTGTCAATCATTTACATTTTCATATTTTTTTCATCAATCATTTTTACAAAGTATTCAAATTTGTATGATCATGTATTCTCAGTTCTGCATGCGTAAGTTTTAATCCAAAATATGATCATATATTACTCTAGTTTGGGTTAAAACCAATGTTAGATGCGTTAATTATAAGATGAAAAATATCAACTCTTGGTGCTTTTGAGGAATGAACATATTAATGATATTATTTTTCAGTACTGATCTATAGAATATTACTACTCTGAAATCAAAACAATAGTATAAAGAAAGTATGTTAGACAATTGTATTAAAATGATGTTTTCAGTATCACTAATTTAAATGATTATATATCTATATATATCTACATATACATTCTAGGGAATATATACAATTGAGTTATCTTACAATGTACAGTTTATATCTTTATAGTTGGTTATATATATATATATATATATATATATATATAACAGCATAAGTTCTCATGTTGATGGGTTTACTGTTGTATTTAAAATTTTGAATTTGTTTACACCTATGTATATATGTCTATTTATAATTATCTGTCTATATATATATATATATATATGTATTGTGAGATATTTTAAAATAAAAGTATGATTTATATTTTAAATCTTATTTTCTTCATATTTAAAAAAAGTGTTCTTAAAAATAGTTTTTTGCACTCTCCAATAAGTATACTAATTTATGAATGTGTTATTGATACCACTAATTGTATTTTTTTTTTATTGTTTCAATAATGGTATTGTTTTATTAAAAACATATATATATATATATATATATATATACATGTTCTTGTATTATGTATTAAAAATACTAATAAAGTAATCATCACAAAAACAGGAACAAGAATCATGCCATGGCCAAGTATAATGTATGTTGCCCATGCAACATTTTCTATAAAAATCTAGTAAAAATGCTTATCTACTAGAACAGTGTTGATACCACAATCTCACTTTATGTCATTTGTGTGTTGTAAAAAATAAAATGTATGTATTTATGTATGTGTTTATGTATGTATACATACATATGAGTCTTTTATTATTCTTAGTGAATTTTATATGTCACACATGAAAGATAAAAATTAAAGATTAATGTGATTTTTTTAGTAAATAGTAAAATAAAATGAAGTATTTAAAAAAAAAAAAATAGTTTGTTACATTTTTATACAAAACATTCATCAACTCAAAAAAAATTCGATTTTTTTATTGAAAAAAATAGAAGATAAAAAGTGGCATGCTTATGTTTTTTTATTACAAAAATAATAATGAATTTAGCAACTGTAGATTTTTAAAATGAATGCCTGTAATTTATACTTGAGAAATTTTATTTGTTGCAAATATTTCTCCTTGTATTGGTGTATCATTGGCTGCTTTAGCCTTCATGAGAAAGCATTGGCACACCCAACTTTATACATAATGCCAAGCAATGTCATTAGAAAGCATTGACACTCCATAAGAAAGTAGGATCATAAAAATGAGAATATATCATTGATTATATATTTTTACCAATAGTTTGCACAAACAAATTACATTTCTTGGTTGGTTTGAATACAAATTGAATGTAAAGTCTAAAATCAGTATTTTAGACTGTATTAAATAATATTGTAAATAATAATATTTTGTTACCATAGTTGTGAACTCTTGACCTTACTTTTTTTTTTTCTATGTAAATACAAATTTACAATTGTTCATACATAGTATTCAATTTACAAATAAGACTAGTTATTTGAATATATATATATATATATATAATTATTAAATTGACCCAAATATTTACTAAATCAATCCACCCATCCTGACCATCATCACAAAAATCTGCATTAGTCATAAACCAATCATAAAATGGTTGAATCCTCAACCAATGATAGTGGGTGGGTAAATTTAGTAACAGCTTGGGTTAATTCAACAATTCCCTCCATATATATATATATATATCAAAATTTTGCTTACAAAGGTAAAAAATTACCTACTCTATACACATATGTGTTAGAGAAATATTTTTCAATTCTCAGGAAATATATTATTGTCATACGATATTTAAGTCTACATTTAAGATGTTGAACAAAGTAAAATGATGTAATAAGTGCATGGAGAATGAATAGAACATGGAAGACTCAGATTGAATGTTATCTTTTGAAGGTAAAAATAGTACAACTACAAGTTGGATGTTCAGTGACTATGTCAGCACCCATGACAAAGAATGTGAAACTGTCATCCATATTTGGGTATCGGAACTTAAAATTTTGAAGATTATTAATGATGTCTAGTGGTCATCATATCTCTACACTAGTCGTTTTATTCCAAGGTTGAATCGCTGTTACTAAACATGACGAGATATTTCAAGCGTAAAATGTCGCTGGTCACATTAACTCCGCTCCAATTACATGAATAAAAACATTAGAATGAATGAGGTTAGTGGAGTATAAAATAATAACTATTACTAAGTGATATTTTTTACTGTCCATTTGAGACGAGTTATTAAAATTCCATCATAAATCAATCTGTGGTGCACCTGAGGGGACGAGTCCTTTCGCTAGAAACGACAAGAAAAGAGAATACTCAGATGGTCCAAAACTTGAAACACGCAATGACTAAGCCAGAAGTGGCATTAATGCTCTCATGCTCTTCGAGTTCAACTGTACAAAAGCAAGGCAAGCGACAGGTTGAAAATCGCTTCAACATCTCAGAGAGTGCTCAAAAGAAACAAGTGTAACCACGTCAATACCAATATTTTGCAAAAGCACATACAGAATCACCCTAGGCAGTTACAGATTCCTGCTTGGCAGCATCCTCAAAAGTCTCTCCCTCTACAAGTTCAGGAACATCATCATCTTCCTCTGCAGCGCTGGAAGCTGCTTGCTTCTGGAACTGCTGAGCGATCTTCTTCAGATTCACCAAGTTGTCAGGGCCTGCAACCGGAACCACAGTAATTACATAAGAAAATGCTGAAACAACAAACATTCACATAGATTCAGTAGGACCCGAACTTAAAATATGAAGCTGAGAGATGCTTTAAATTAATCAAAGTGAAATGCAGAGGAGAAAGGAGTATACCGAGCTGGTTGATGATGCTGGGTAAAAGATCCTCAAGCTCTGCAAAAAAAATTGCGTAAGATCACAGAAGTTAGTTCTCAATGCTTTCTGGGTGACCAATGACATTTCAAAAGGACTTTATGGTAACAGATGCTATTCATGGTACAAGAGCAAGTTTAAGAAACAGTAGACATACTCTTAGTCGATGATGGTCCACTAACGACCCAAGTGTTGGCGGCGATAGAAGCTTGCACTGCAAAACAGAGAAGAAAATTGGTCTCTAATCAACATTTGCTAATACAATTGAGAGCTCCAAGATGAATTTTAACGTTTCTGCACTAAAAAAGCGGCAGGTGCTAGGACAGAGTATGTACATGATAAACCTCAAATTGAAGATATGATATGCAGCTGAAGGGAAAGATATCAAAGAAGCATTTACATCATAATCGTAAATGGGAGAAACTTCAAATATATCGAACAAGTTCTTTATGTATTTTATTGTAGGTGGATAAAGTCCAGTGCAATACCCTTGGGGTTGACGAAGTGGATAACAGTTTCGTCCTTGAAGATGTTAACCTCCTCAATGCCAGGAATAGTATTTACACCAAGTCTCTTCAGAGTGTTTTGCAACCTCTTGTCATCGGTAGTGGTAGTTTTGTGGGCCGCTTTATGCTTTCTGCCAAAATAAAAGGGTTAGTACATCAATCCCTTATATTGTGGTGAATGGCACACACATTCAAACCTTAAGAAGCATCAAGCAATACTGGCAGCGAAAGTACTCCACAAAATCATTATAAAAAGGCAGCCGATGTGATACTTCGTGGTGATGCGCATTCAGCAATTCAACGACGACGGACAACAACTATCCAATCTCAATTCTCCCCAAAACACCGTTGATATACTCATACTGAAAAGCGGTTTAAAACGGCCGTCTGGCAAAAAAAACCCTAAATCAATGCCTCAACATTATATCAGAAAACCACCTGATAAGGTTTTTCATTCTAAAAGAACCTCTACTTTTGAAGAGCTTCGTTCCTGCATTCTAAAATAAACAGTGGGCAAAAACGCAAATGAATTCACAAAACCCTAACACCACCCCCCCCTCCCAAGAATCCTCTAAACCCTATAGTCTAATTCCACACCACAACGCAGCAGGCCCTTCGACCACTCCGCTAAAGTATTGAACACAGCCAAAGGTAGCAAAAGGCGCCAGACTACCGGAGCTGGTAAGGAACACCCTCGAAGTGCTCTTTTCGACCACACCAAGCGACGCAGGACTCAATCCACAGTAATGAGAATCAACGACAACAACAACAACAACCATCACCACAGTGAAGGGAATTGAATCCAGCATTACCTTCTGACGCTGCCCTTTCCGCCAGTGCGCACGGCACCAGCCATCTTCATGAGCTTCTCCCGGTTCATGCTGGCAGAGACGTCGTCGCAGCTCTCGCTAGGTCGGGGTAGCGACGAGGTAGAGGAAGAGAGGTCGGAAAGAGCTTAGCCTAACGCGATGGCTGTGCTAAAAGAGAGGATTCGTATGATAGCTCCCCTGTAATACCCCCCTAGGGTTTCCAGGCGGCGGGGGTCGCCCGTCCCCCCCCCCCACGCCCGGCCCGCGCTCCACCCCCCTCCCTTGCTGACGGGGAAGACAAATCAATCCAGTTGGATATCTGACGTGTCGTACACGTCACGATTAGGGCTTCGAGGGCTCCGCCTTCAGAAACACACGCTCTCGTTTTCTGCTGCGGACGAGGCCGATTTCCTGTTGGGTGGATTTTTTGTCGCAGGGATGTGCCCTCCGTTTGAGACTGTTACTCTTCACCTTGCTCAGTACAAAGTAGATGATGTCTCGGTCTTTGGTGAGCGAGAGAGAGAAGTGGGAAATGTAGGAATATGAGCGTGTTTGGTTTTGTGCGGGTGGTGGGTGCGTTGCTCTCGGCTTCGACGCAGTGCCGGCCAGTTTTGCGCGCTTTCGGCATGCGAGAGGCTCTCACGGTTTCCGAATTTCAGGTGAAGTGAAATTCACATGGTTTCTGTGTCAGTGCGACCAAGAGTAATTAGTTTGTATTTGTTGGCCGTTGTATTTTTATTTGCCTGTTTCCTTGGAGCTTGTGAAATTAGGGTTAGCAGACGAAAGGTTGTGATCACAGTGACGAGACATTTCGATAATTAAATTTAAGTGTTATAACATTCTCGCTAGAGATGTTTTGCGTGTATCAGTTAGTAAATTTGTTCTTGGGTCGTTTTTGAAGATGCAATGCATGATAACTTTATTAGTGAAATTACATACGGTTTATCGAAATTATGCTTTTAGATCAAAAACAACATTTGAAAATTCACCATGCCAACAAATTCATTTCAATCATATCATTACAATATCATTATCTACTGAAGAAGTGGTTTTTTGTTCGATGTCCCTAGAGAAAAAAACAAGTAAACTAAAAATGCCTGAAAATGAATGTCTAAATTCAGACAAACTATTCACAAAGTTCAAATTGCCAAGGCTTTTCTAAATTCATGTTGTGAGCATTTGCAACCATTTTGGGAAGGAAGATGCCTTACAGTTGAGTTGCTAAAAGACATTTTCATCATCTACTGCTACTTTGCTATGTATTCAATAGCTTAAGTAGCAATTGTTTTACAAATATTCGTTTAATCATTAGATTAACACTTGATCATTTCTTCACATTCATCCTCAATGTTGATCTTTAGAACTTTTTTGAAACAAATATATAAAATCTTAAATCATAAATAAAAAAAAATATGTACACAATAGGAAAGAAAAAAGAAAAAAGAAAAAACATTATCAACAACCTATTTACATAAAAAGCATGATTGTAGATATCTTAGTTTAAAATATATATAGTGAGTTGTTAAAGCTACACTCCTCTTTGTTTTTTCATGATTCATTTTGTACCCATTTCTAACCTTTGTCCCCTATTCCTAGCAATCGTTCCTATCTTGTTTCTATTCCAATCCACATCCCATCTTGATCCCCCCTTTTTTTATATAAAGTTGAATGAGTTGTAATGATGAACGAATTGTAAATATATCAAAAAGAATATTGACATCAAGTCGCAATTTTTTTGATTTAAATATGAAAATTCGATATACAAAATTAATTCATAAAATAAATATATATATAATTTTATTTATTTTTTGTTTATTTTTTGTTTTTATTGAAATACAATTGCATGATTCTTTTGAGAGTTGCTTCAATAAAATCAAGAGAAATAATTTAAACAAGTTACAATAATAAATCACAAACAACATTTCAAAGTTTGATTTAGAAATTTTGTTTTGGAATGCAAAACAAATGGATTTATTCTTAAAATTAAACACATACTTAATTTTCTCTTTATAAAATTAATATCATTATCATCATTGCTAATACTATTATCTTACATTTTTTTTTATTACAACTAATACTAATGCATAATAATCTTTTTGGTGTAATGCATAACTTATTCATCATTTTATTTATTCAAAAAACTTTATGGACGTTGGGATGAGGTGGAGGGGGGGGGGGTTGAGAGGGATAGAAGACATAGTGGAGTTGGAGACAATAGATGAGTATAGAATAAATCATGAGGTGGCAGAGGACAATGTGGCTTTAACAACTCCATGTATATATTACGTTTAATAAGTATGGCATTGAATTTGAAGAAAAAAATGGTTCAATTTTACACATTTTTTGTAAATTATACAATCAGAAGTATTTATAAAAAAAATACCCTGAAATTTTTATGTATAAATAAGTATTAAACCAAAATTAAGAAACATATGTGATTAGTACAAAAGTATATGTTTGTATTATTACACAATATTGTGTAATAATAATTACCATTAATATATTTCTCCTTCAACAAAACAAGACCTATTATTTGATGACCTATGTAAAATTTTAATCTGCAATTAAAAAAAATATCACATATATTGTTGGTCTTGCAATTATTAATGTTGAAGCATGCACAAAATTTTTAAATATATGAATGCTATCTTCTTTGAAAATGGTTTTTTCACCACATTAAAAAACGCACTAATGTGTTATCTTTTTATTTGAATTCACAATAAATTTTTCTATTTATATTTTATTTATTTTATTTTATTTATAATTTTAAAACCTTGGCTAAATCAACTATTAAAAGACCAAATGCTTGTTAAAGTTGCACAAGGATATTATAACTTTGCAACTTCATGTTGTTTAAATTCATCACCACCTTAACATTATTGAATTGCTAACAACAGTTTCATGTGACTTGACAAATTTCATTTTTGTCATCATATTTATTTTTTTAAATCCAAAGACATGTACAAAAAGCTTGTCTCTTCACAAAATTGGCTTGATTTTACTACAGTAATGCAGAACATATATTCATATACACACACATATATTCATATGCACACACATAGAAAAAGTTAGAATGAAATTATGTCACCAATATATTTAATTTTTAGAACAATGTTGAATATTTTAGGGATAATATTGAATAGACCCAAGTTTTTACTAAATTAATCCACCCATCTTTACCATCATGGGAAGAAAATTAAAATAACTTCTAGATTCATTTTTCCACTAGATCCAAAACCAATAAAAACCAACCACATTCATCATGATTACCATATTCGTCATCATAGGTAGATTAATTTAGCAAAAACATGATCCTATTATATAATTATAGATCTATAATTCTTCATATTAATTTTTTTTGCTTATTTTTTTGTGTATTTAAATTCTTCATGAGAATTTAAGCATCATCACATTGAAGACAGTGTAAATTACATTTAGCCCAAATGGCGATTTTGTTATTTAACTGAAGTAATTAAAAAAGTAACAATTTATTTTTTCTCTGATGATTGGACTATGTCATAAACACTGAATTTGTTTTTGTGATTTGTTGTTGTTAAAATGTTGTTCCTTATTTGACTCCTGCAACTTTTTCTGTTCTGGATACAAGTGTGCATGGTTATAATCATGTAAGTTGAGTTTCATTTCTTTTTTTCATTTATATTAAACTCATTACAAGTTTTCCATGCCGGTGTAAGCCTTGTATACATGATTTAAGATGATTTTAAGCCATGTATACAGATTATTGCTTAGTGAACAGTTTCAGTTTATTGATTATAGCCCTAGATTTTACTGTCATGTAATAACAATGGCCGGTTTTCAATAGCATAAATATCCTCTTTTATTAATATTTTATTATTATCATGATGATTTTTTGTGATTTTTACAAGAAATATGAGTTTTTTTTACATCTTTTGTTTGAGACATAATTATCTCCAAATTTGCAGCTACTTCTGCACTTTGCATGGTGACTTGAAAGTTCATAATCTGGTGACTTGAAAGTTCAAAAAAATCAATCCGGTAATAATTTTAAGAAAGGATTGCAATATTTACATGCATGTCTTGAATGTATGAAAAAGTTGTATTACACACCATCAATGTAAGGCACTAATGCAATTAATTGATTAACAGACCTTAAAGTTCAACGCAACGAAGGTTGTTTCGCGACTCCGCGGAGGATTGCACTTCAAGGAAAGGGTCAAACATTACCTTTTCTATCTATCTCAGATGGATCGGATTCACGCAACATCTCCTCTGCGCTTCGACAATCAACGAGCTCAGACAAAACCAATGGTGAATTGCTTTTATTCTTCTGGAAAGTGGCCCCACTGCGACAACGAATGATGTCAATACAAAATCGAAAATTTTAGACCCAAGGGGGTTGGATTTCGAAACGGTGCAGCTGACGAGAATCGGTGACGTCGTAGAACATGAACAGTCTCGTTGGGTCTAGAATCCAACGGGTAGGCATCGTCATCATATCCATTTCGGGAATCTGACTGGGTGTGTTGTGTTCTTACTCAGCATGCGGCGGGACCCCTCAGATGATCCAACCCACAAGTGGTGCTAAGCATCTGGACTGAGGATGTGCCTCCGCTGACGCATGATTTCGGAATGATGTAAACTTGAGATAACGGTGTGGGATATAAATAGGTCGGATCGCTCTTCCGATGCTGATGCTTGCTTCTAGCAGAGAGAGCTCGCGGGCCCTGTGCTAGTGGTGCAAGTTTTGCCATGACAGCAGTGATATGAGAGAAAAGCTAGCTGAGTGAGCGAAAGAGCGTGAGCGTTTAATTTGGAGATTTCTGAGCTGAAGCTGTAGGCGGTTGAGTTGGAAAGCGTCGAAATAGTTTTAAGTTAGGGGGAGTAATTGCCGTGTTGGACTGTTGTCGGAGTGTGAGGTGCATCAGGGTTAAAGGTTTTGAGATATTTATGAGTTGCGCGTTTAAAAAGAAGAGTCTAGCGCTCGTCGTGTGTGGAGGAGAAGGTGGTTGTGTTTGAATCATAGTACAGGAATGGTTCGGCTAGTGACGAAATACCTGTATCGATTTCAGCGAACGTCGCATGAGCATTGGAATGTGTGGATGAGTTTGCACTCTAGTTATTGGAATTCCGAAAGTTGTAGTAGTGGGAAAGACTGGTGTGCTACTTGTGCGAATGCTCACTTTGGATGTTTGTCGATTTGATTGCGGAAGCTAGCATCTAGCTTTTTAAACAGGTATGCATGAGGCTGGTAATTGGCAATTCCGTCTCTTCATGAAACGAGCCGGCGAAGAGATTCATCATCAATTCGGTTGATTGGCTGATTGATTCTTCTTTAGGTTGGTTTGTGAGAACAAGGCGAGCCGTTCACAGGATGGAGGTGACTGTGGGCGGTGCACACCGTCTTTTAGATTCACAGATTAGTTTCGTTTCGAAGGCGGTGACTATGGCGCCAATTAGTTCAGCGAACCATGTGAATGCCTCGGGCACAGGGTATATGGAGCCAGTAACCCTCGTCAAGTTTAACCCAGCTTTTGCGGCTTTACTTATAGCCATGATTGCATCCATCTTCCTCGTCGGTTTCCTCATGGGCCTCCTCAAACGGTGCATTCCACCTTCCGAGGCAGACGATGACAACTCTCTCACTCGACGTCGCTTTCCCGATAGATCTGCTCGCCAAGCATCGAAATCGCAGCGTGGACTTGACCCTGAGATTGTCCAAGCTTTGCCCCTCATACACTACAAGGACTTACCAACTGACCAGAAGGTGAAGAAGTGCGATGATTGCTTGATTTGCTTGGCGCCATTCGACTCTGGCGATCTCTTGAGGTTGCTGCCTGAATGCTCTCATGCGTTCCACTCGGATTGTATTGGTGCGTGGTTTCAGTCACACAGCACGTGTCCCCTCTGTCGCGCATGTCTGGCTCATCCGGCCGAGGAAGAAAGCAGGCAAGATCAAGACGGAGATCACAGCGTGAATGACGAACAAGAAGGCACTCGTGAATCGGGAGATATTGACATCGTTGAGCTGGAAAATAGGAGAAGTTCCGAGCGTGATGCGAGTGGTGTCAATACCACTATTTCTGAAGGTAAGTTACAGGTGTTGTCTACTCTGTAGCTACTTGCTAGTCGAAGTACGACGTGATTCAACGTGTTGTGCGGGATAGGAATTCTAATCCGACCGTTGTTGTCGCAAAACCACGCACCAAAGTCCTTGAACTGATTTCGAGTCGTCTTTATCTGCAGTAGAGCGAGTCACTGGAGCACGAGCGGGGAGCATGCCTGCAGGCGAAGAAGAGGGGCATCACAGGGCACCCCTCCTCAGCAACTTGGTTGGCTCTTTTACACCTGCTGTGCGATTGGTTGTTGTTCCTGAGAAATTCGCTTCATTAGCGTCAATACGTCGCTCGAGCTCTACGGGAACCGACCTCCTCCAGGTCCCGAAACCCAGCTACATCGTCGACAGCGAGGGTACTCAGCACAACAGAAAGCTTTTCCAGTCGTATTCAACGGATTCCCTCCCGAAGCACCAACTCGATCTGAATGGCTCTCCTTCGACATCCACTAGTCTTGAGGATCTATGGAGCACCGCGGATCTGGAGGCCGGAGCTTCTAGTGCAACCCACCTCATTACGAATGGAGAGATTTCAACAAAACCCTCCGGAAACTGGAGTACCAGATGGAAGTTCCGAAATCTGAGATATGTCTAGCAAGTTGGATACCGACAAATCCACGAAGCCCTTGGAGGATCAAACCTCACCATGACCTCGACATGTGACGTCGGGGATTAGCTCTGTGAACGACGAAATCTGAGCTCCGCTGACGGAGGTCAAGACACAACCCAGTAATCAGCTTTAAGACCAACGCTTCTCTCGCTGTCCACGTCCTACCGTATAGAAAGAAACCCCATTTCTGTCGTCGATATTTTACTGCACATAACTTTAGAATTCAGCCTTGATCAGCGGAATCTCTCCATCATCGATCACGATCACTGGCGACGCTTTAGTGACAATGTCCATCGCAACCAATCAGAGATTGATGTATAATACCGAAGAGTGTAGAGAAGCAAGCAGAAGTGTGGATATCACCAGTTCATGTGTCTTGTTGCGATTGCCCGCTACAGGGCGTTGGAAACTTGGTTCTTCTCGACTTGAATCCCATGGATTTGCTGCATGCAACGCAGTGAGCAACTGTGATTTGAACTGTGCTCCTTGCATGGAGACCACGTTACAACTTCGAAGCTAGAAAGCCCTGTTGTCGGAACAGTTGCACCACCTTCAGATTGCGATGAGGTCCTTCATGTAGAGTGGACAGCTTTCAGCTCTCCAGTTTGGTCTCTGGTGTGAAGACCTGTTAAATTAGCAATTTGTTTCTTGCTGTGAGTGATGCCCACTGTACCATGCAAATTAGAGCCATGTTTCCTGTCGGTGTATATGAGTTTGTAAAATGTTCGAAAATGTTGGTATATTGTGATATGCCTTCTAATAAATAAGTAGATAGATTTAATAGAGTTGAAATTCTATTTGTGTTGTTGAGGTTTCCTATGTTGTAGTTTACATAGATGTGTTTCATTCTGGATGATTGTAAGATTAATATTATTATTTTTGATTGGTTGGCTAAAAAGAGAGAGGGAAGGAAAGAATGGAAATTAAGAAAAAAGAAAAGAGAAAAGAGAGTTGTATCCATTGGTCGTAAAGAAGAAACTCTTCTGAAATACAGATTTATTGCCCACGAAAGCCCAAGTTTTGTTTTTATTTTTATTCTCTTGAAACATTGTTTGTATTATCATTTGTGTGATAATTTCAAGAAAACATTAGAACCTCAAAATTTAGTTACTTTATCTTCTTCTTCTTTTTAATCTTTTTTGCTTTTGATCCTCTTCATTGAGAAGTAATCAAAAATTTAATTAATTAGCTTTTTAGGAACAACAAAAGAAGGAGACTTATCTTTTTACAGTTTCCAATCGGCAAAAATTGAAGAATGAAGCAATAATTAACACAATCACAAATAAACTATACTTAAATATGACAGCCATCAAACACAATATAAATTCTACTTGATATTATTAAAAAAATACCATATAAGAAAGAACTTTAAATTTTTATTTTGACTTTAGTTCTAATTGCAAGCATTTTGCTAAAATTGACATCAATAAAAAAAATTCAAATAAAAGTTCAATTAAAATATTTATAAGTAACAAGTAAAATGTGAACTAATTCTAAAATTTTGGTAATGCTCCCTATAAACATAACAAATAAATTAACAAAACTAAGGCAGAAGATAGATCACGATAATATATACTCCTTGATTTTGGTAACTTAATAAAATAAAATAAAATAATATTATTTATAAATAAATAAAGATAATAATAATCTTATAGATGTTTAATTTTAAAAAAATATCAATGATGGAAGTTGACAATACTTGGATATAGAAAATATTAATGGACCAACCATATCTAAACAAAACTTATTAAATAGCATAATACAACATAAATAATTATCAAACAACATCAAATTTGATAAATTTGTGAAGATTAAAAACATGAGAAATTAAATATTAAATATACAAAAATGATATACAAATCTAAGTTTCATAAATTAAAGATAGGTACAATCAATAAAAGAAGAATTTGAATCTATATACAAAAAATAGATTTAAGATTAGTCAATTTGACTTTATGTGTTTTTTCTATTAATAATCCCTAGATCTTAACATCAATTATTATCATTATTATTATTTATTTATTATAGCAAAAACAGAAAATGGACTTAAAAATATGTTTTCATCTATTGTATGATGAAAGACAGTTTTTAAAATCACTACACTGGTAATTTTACAAATTTGCTTATTAAACACATAAATATTCATAGCTATATAAAAAGATATGTTTACATGATACAAATTCTAAGTTCCATTGATAAAAAAAATCTATATTTTATGTACAAGTTAAAAGAGTTAATTTATGAATTAAAATTTTAAATTTTAAATATGTTACATGAAAATCAATTTTGACCCTCTATTAAAAAAACAGAAATTCTATATTAGATTTTAATGTTTTATATAACATCATTTTATTTTTCATTTTTAAAATCGTTTTACTTAAATTATTTATTGATTACAAAATCCAACATCATGTTTAGATTTTAAATGACCAAATTTAAACTAAAGCATCAATTCTTTAAAACATAATTTATCTAAAAGAAGATAAGAATATTTCTTTATTAGATATATTATACATATTAGCTTTTAAATAATCTAAAATTTAACAACATGATTACAAGCTACTTTCAAATGTAAGATTCTATTTAATTAGGAATATAGATAGACATGTTAATATTAGATTCAAAACACAATGAAGTCTTGGTAAGAATAGTATTCTATTTAATAAAAACAAAAAAATGTGTTGGTTATTTAGATATATTTTATAAGCGATTACATGCACCATTATTAGGAGCAATAACTACAAGCCACGAAAAGTATCTTTTGCAAGATATTTTGTCATTTATTTTTTGATCTCTAATTCTTAAAAATACAAGAGATTTTTTTTACTTAAGCATTTGTAGATTTGAATGGTATTAGAGATGTCAATTATAAAACATCAAAATGTTTATTATTTATCTTCATAAACAAGACATTAATTTGTAGATCTCTAAAAACAACTTGTAGTATGTTTTACCATCTTCTTAAAAAGTCATATATTGAATATTTACAAAAATAATAATAAATATTATGCAATCTGATTACAAAAATTAGTAACATAAATGGTCTTTAACAAACATTACTATTATAATGACATAAAAGAACATTATGAAAAGAATAAGAAAAATAAAAAATCATAAGAAAACAAATCACTTTGAAATTAATTGGTGTATGATTAGAATAAAAAAATGGATTATTGATCTATCTACATCCAATATAAAACTAATTGAGAAAGTTTTAGCATGCTTACCTCAAATTTAAAAATATTCCAAAACTTTTTGAAAATTCAATATTCTTAAAAATCAATGCAAAGATACCATATTATAAAAATCACACATGATTTTGTTAAACAAGCATTGAATACAAAAAGAAGACAAGTTGAAGCATTTTAAATTAATGTAAAAATTGTTAAATGAAAATCTAAGTGTAGATCCTTCTTAAAAGAATCTATTAGATTTTTCTTAGATAAATTTAGAAGATAGAACCTATACCTGAAACAAGAGAAATAAGAAACTCATTGCATGAACAATACAAAGCAAAATGAGTTGCAATACCATCTCTAAAAAACAAACAAAACAAGTTTTTCTTTGACATCAAAACACACTTAATCATCTAATATTCAATCATATCCAAACACTAAACCACAAATAGCTTCATTACAATAAGGGATTTAAACATGGCACTTTTGCAAAAGCAAATAAATGGAATTCAACCCTTGATATTTCCAAGATCATAGTTTAAATTTTATTACCCTCTAATATCACTCACTGGTTCAAATTTTGTTACACCCTAATTTGGAGTCAGAGAGGGAAGAGAGTTAAAACAAGCAACATGGTTTTTGATATTTCACCCACCCTTCTTTTGATATTTTAATTTTAAAATCATAAACCTCAAGACCTCGAGAGGTGGGTGATTTGGTGAAGTATCAAAATATCAAAATATTTCAAAATATCTTAGGATACTTTGAGATCTCATCACTGGTTAAATACAACCCGAAAAGGCCATGTTTGAACCTCGAAATGAATCCTCTTGTGTCTAGTTCCACATTAGATCTTATATCCTTTCTACAATTACTAGGAAACCATGCTTTGAGCAAGCTGTGCACAGCAAATGTTATTGTAAATGTTGTTGTAAGTAAGAATTGACAGTACCAAAAGAGTGCCGGACATGCCGTTGTGCTACACAATGATAAGTGGGATCAGAACGTGAAACTGCACATCGGCAGCTGCGATCATGCACAGCAAGCTGTGTGTGTGAAATCAGCAAATCAATGCGGAAAAACCTCACTTGCAACGCGCAACTGACTGCTTTCGTTTCTACCACATCCACTTACGCATGCATGCACAGCTTCTTCAAATGCACAGCGTCTGTAAATTCACAACTTCTTTGATGTGCACCACACAGGGAGCTCTTGCTTCAGGGCAAATACCACACTGCATCAAACATTGAACAGGAGCTGAAGCTCCAATTCGTGAACATCGACGCAGTTTAGATTCGTATCTTCTTCTTCAAGTTGCGGGTATGTCGCCGATGATGTGTTTTTGTACCCACGTTTGTTTAGATCTTCACAACCTAAAAAATAACACACGAAAAGGACCTAGAACATCGCTTCCAGCGCCGTTGCTAGCTGTTGCCGTGGAACTCTATCGTCCTCTGATATTGTTACCTGCTTCGATCGCGACGAAGCTAAGAATGTCCAGCACTCCATGTTGTATCCAAAACTGAAGCACTGGTCGTGTTCACCAAGGAATCCAATAATCACTGTAAAGGCGGTGCCGCGTCAGTTTTCAATACCCAAAACTTACGTTGTCTTGGATTCGCGACTCATATGGGCGTGAGCTCGATGTGGAATGCTTTCACGATGTATAATTAGCATTTCTCGTAGATTGGTAGATATCCGCTAAATAAGCAGGGATTTACAATCGTCTCTTGCGCGAAAAAGTTTGCTACTAAGGCGGTCACGAATTCTTTGATGCGGCGTTTAGAATCTTGGCTGGCAAGTTTGTAATATTAAGCGTCTGTACATACTTTCACCAACAGATGTGTGACCACCCGTCACGCAGAATCCAAAAACTTTGACTAAGCTATATCTTTCCTTGAGATAGTAATTGATACACAGTAGTGTGGCATACATTTCGAGATAGCTTTAAAGCTCCCAAAAGACGAGGTCATGTTCTGTACGTGTCAAGTCGATAAATAGAGCGTAATCAAATTCCGCGCATCTTGATCATGTGCATCTTCCGTATGTTGGAGAGTCTCACACTTTTCTTCAAACGCACACGGGACTGAGGAAGGAAACTTGAGGGTATGAGTAAGCATGGGGGAACTGTTGCATGCATACACAAGTGGGATAGGTTGAACAAGTATGACGGCAGGATCTGGGACTTCTTCCGCAGCATATTCAAGGATGCTGAAGCTAACTTACTGTTATCGTTACTGGTAAGGAAAAGGATCTATCTTCCGAAGAAATAAATCTCCTTAAAAGAAAGTTCACAGGGTGTGAGAGCTTTGTCCACGTTGACTTTTGTCCTAAGGATGGTGATCCAGATATAGAAGAAGATAACGTAGAAGTGAGAAGCGAGTCTCTAGACAGGTTAGAGAGAGAGCTTTCAAGTCTTGGTCGGCGAGACGTGATCTGTACTGAGGGAAAGCTCTCCAAAGGGCGTCTTGCATACAGTAAGGGCAAGGCAAAAGTCGAGATCGGACTCCTCGGTGAAGCTTTTTCAGACTTTGTCTCTTCGATCTTTCACAACACACTTGTGGTACACTTCTATATCCATAAACATTATTAATGGTCTTGGAACATCTATTTGATCTATAACTTGTATTGCACTCCAGCTACACGTATACTCCAGATCCGTAGAACATAATCGTGTGTTGTAATCTACACCTGCACATAGTGCCTTTACCCATCCGGAATAGCTTATGTTTGTAGCAGTGATGAACATTTCTTCTGTCTTCATACCACCTTCGTAAACTCTTATATCCATCTTCTTCATTAGATTAGAGAAGTGGTTAAGCGTACTTCTCTTATAGAAGTAATACTTAATAAACTTCTTGTCACCTTCGAGGTATGATCTTAGTAGCCGTCTAGTGCACATTACAGTCTTAGCAATGTTGTTACGACCAACTAGCTCAGATATCTTGTTCATCTTCTCACGTACGTTTATTCCCATAGCAGACACAAGTATAGCAGATTAAGGGGCACAGCAGATTGTGAAGCAAAACAAACATTGTGCAAAGCCATGTAGTCACTAAGACAGTGAGCAAAGGATTGTTGCTCATTGCCATCGTCACAGCACATAGAGTAAAAGAACATAACCTTTTTGGTGGAGCCAGTATGCATTCTTCACCCACACAATGGAATACAAATACAAGCATTCAGGAATGCAATGTTTAGGTGGAAAGCTCACCAGAATCATCAGATACCATCTTTGAAAACTGCAGAAGTAATTCCCCATTACAACATCACAGAAGAACGATAGAATTATTACTGAACGATTACATATCGCTTGATAAAGCTGAAGTCTATGATAAGAACAGATCATAAAAAAATAATGAGCTCCTCTACGGACTATTGTGCCTGTACCTACACCTCAGAGACTTCGTCAGCTTTCCAAAAGTCATGCAGAACAAGACCGGAACGTAATAACGAGTGTCATGGCGATTGCCATCTTCAAATGAACTTCATCAACATTGATTGATAACAGCCTGATGCCCAGAAGGGGTTTGTGGACAAACTTAAAACTCATAAGAAACCCTCAAATCTGCTAAACCATAAGCACTGTGGTAAACAAAGACCAATTCCCGCCAGAGACAAGGTATCGAATTGATGAAAAGGGAAATTCCACAATTGCGTAGGTTACACGCAGAACTGTCAAAAATGGTTGATTCTTGCAAGAAGTTAAAACTCACAGGGCATGAACATTCTAGCTTAATCCTAGAATATTCATGTCCAGATTGCATTCAAGTCGCTCCTGAAAAATTGAACCGATCTGTCTTTCTCGTGCGATCTCAACCCCATCGAAGTTAAAATGCATAGATCAGTTCATGTTATTCTCTCATTCCTTCGCAGTGACGGATGCTCAATCAAAAAATAAATTTTCCACGCTTCCAAGGCTCAATACCACTACACATTAAAACCCTCTCGCCGCAGGCACTGCTTGTGGGCCTCAATCCACTTCGCACAAGCGTTTTCCCCATGTTCCACGATGCAATCGTCCCGCAACTTCTTCGTCTCCGGACAGGCGCAACAAATTTTCTTCTTCGGCGCCTCCGCAGGCCCAACTGCTGCTGCAACTGGCGTGACTGCTCTCTTTACAGTGTCATCTGTGACAGCTGTCGTACTCGACTTTCCAACTTCTTGACTAGAAGAATTTCCCATTCAACTCAATAAATTCTGCAAATCGAGCACGTAAGCTCATTTCCACTACAAAAATATCTCTAATGCAGAGGTCTATCTTGTTCAGAAAGTAACCGAAATCAATGAAACAAACGCAACCACACAGCTATTGAGCAAAACCCAGAATAAATTCAATGGCAGTCCAAATCAAACGATTGCGTACTTCTCACAAAACCGTCACCAAAATCCAAAACCCAAAACGCTCATCACAGGTGAAACCCAATTCACTTCGAGGGTATCGCCAAAGAACGCAGACGTGATCAATTGCAGAATTTGGGAGATAAAATACGGTCACGTAGATACACACTTAGCATGAGCAAGAAAAAAAAGTAAAGATAAAAATAAAACCACACCCACAATGAAGCAGTTCCGATTGGTCTCAAAGTGAAAAACGAGAAGCAGGCATTATCAAACACACCTTAAAGCATTAAACAGGAGACACGAATGAAGGAGAGCGGCGACTGTCGTCACGCGTTAGCTTCAGTCTCGGCGGTGAGGAAAGCAGAACGAAGTTGACAAAGTCACAAAAACACTGAAATGAAGGGGCGCTCTTCATTTACACCAAAAATACTCCGCGGTCCATAGCGTGGCCATGAAGCAACAACAAGAATTTGTGCATTGTATAGTTCCTTTTTTCATGGATGCGACCAGCTTCCGACGGCTCGGCATGCATTCACGGTGAGAAATTAGGGTTTTGTGTGTGTAAATGCAAGTTTGTGACGCTTCTTGGGATGGAGTTTGGGTTTTGGTGCATTTGATTGGCAAGGTAATGAATTATTTTCTTCACACATTCCATGTAGTTGGAAGCTGCATATTAGATAGATATTATTATAAAGGTGTTTAAAATAGGCATTTTGTATAGAGATGAAAATTATCCCACAATATATTTGTTCATAAGAGGTTGAGTTTGAATAGATGGATGTGTTGTTTGTTTGTTATTTGTTTGTTATTTGTTTACTATCTAACAACAAGGAGGGAGGAAAACCATTCTTCTTAGAAATAGCGTAATGTCTCTTTGTATGATTATATAATGGAGAGACTGGCTTATTTAGAAGTGGTTTACTGTAGTATCCAACAAAATTGAGTCAGCCATTTTGAAATGGAAATTTGAGCCTTGTTGAAAACTCACTAAATGAATTTTTACATTTCTATTGTTTAGAGATATTATTCCAAGTTTACTACCTTGCATTTAATTAATATTGATAAATACACAAGTTGTGATTAGAAATTGCTATTTCAACTCTAATACATGTCATGTCATACTCAATTTTGTGTTCCTTCTCACATCAAACAAAATGAGGTTGAAGAAGAAGAATTCAACAATACAAAACTTAAATCCTGATGTATATTTGGACTATACTTCAACTTAAAGCTCTATACATGTTCTTTGTAATTTTCTACTAGTAACAAAAATTGAACTATAAAGGCATTAAGGAACAACTTGAATTTCTTAGATGCCATGAAATATCAAGGATAAGAATTCAAAGAATGTAAATAAACAAGTGAGACTTTTCTCAAAAAAAGATTATAAAAAAGAAATAAGTAAATATGTATATTCAAGAAGAAACTAGAATGGCTATTGCCAAAAGCCAAGAAAACTAGAGACTTTTGAAATTAGACTAGAAGCAAAAAAGGAATTGACAAGAATAAAGATGGCTTCACTCTTGCCTCTACATACATTATTTAACTATGAATTACATGCCAGCATTCTATAGGACCTCCAACACATGTCTAATTTGCACAACAAGCTTCATATATATGCACTACATGTCTTAATTGTACTACAAGTCGCTAACATGTGCAATAAATGGCCAATTTATTGACCAAGTTATTAATCTATCAATTATCTATAGATACATATAAAAGCAATGCTACATTTGTGAAGCTTCTAAAAAGCTTATCTACATTATATTATCAAATTTTTCTACTATTATCTATTTCTATCTACTCATATTATCTAAATAATTTATGAGGATAAATATGTATGTCTATGATATGAACATAGGATCTTTTGTAATTGGGAGCACATTATTATCTAAGATGAAAAAAATATAAATTAATTTTGTTCAAATAATCACACTTACAGTTGGATTTATGATGGAAAATCTTACAATTTAAGATAGCTTTAACAAATAGTGAAGTTTTGTAGTGATTTGGTGATGGTATGAAGTGGTATAATGTACTAGGGCCTTAACATCATTCATAGAATTGAAGGATGAATGGATCATCATTAATACAAGAAAATCTTGTAGAAATATTTATTATACATTGTAATGGCTTATGATCATGATTCTTTCCATTTGATTGTTGAGCATGATAATAGTGCCAAACAAATAGCAAAAACGTTTGCAAATGATTGAAATCACAAAAGTCTAATGTTTTTAAGTGGCTTGTGTAGTTTTTTGATCTAAATCTAATATTTAAGAACATTAGACTTTCATTACACCATAGGAATGTAGAAGGTTGTAGGAGAGCATACTAAAGTGAATCCAAGTTGTTTTAACTAGTATAGGTAGGCTAACAAAATATTAAGGATTTTTGTAATAGAAGATGCAAAAATGAATCAAAAAACATAGTTTTTGTAAAATATAATTTTCTTGTACATATTAATGTGAAAGAGACATTTTTTTCCCATCAAAATGTAACTTGTTCAAACTATTATCTTGCACAATTTATGGTTTGTAATGACTTATTGCCAATTTCTCTACATTGGTGATTAAAATCATGTAATAAGTTGTATTAAAAGCAAGGAGTTTTTTTGGCTGTAATAAGAATTGTATTTCTAACTTGGTGGTATTAATGTGGTTTTGTTGAATTTTAGACAGTATGATTTGAAAGTTATTGAAGGTACGAAATAATAATTGATGTGCAAACTTTGGTAGGATGAAATTGGTGTTTTTCAAGAAGTTGTATTAGCACATGTCTCAATAGTTATAATATAAAATAGATATATTTTTTTATATGTAAAAATCACTTGTTAGTAAAAAAAAATCTTAATATAGTTTATTAATTTTTTTGATTAATTTTGGTATTTTCCAGATTTTTATAATATCAATATTAGTATAATAAAAAACATCAATACTCTTCTTCTAAATTTGCTCACTACATAAACTAGTTTTTAAATCAATTTATCATAATAAAATTCTCTTACAAACTATGTAATTGTAAGTCTTATAGTTTTTAGAATTTATGTTTGATAAAAAATATAATGCATAAATACATTTATACCTTTATTTTTTTATTAAAATAAAAAATTATGATTAAAATTATTAATTATTCTTATTTCTTAAATAATTTTTTACCTTTATTTATAATTATGAAAATTATAATTAAATTTTATTAACTTATACAGAACTATTTTTGATAAGTTTAGGATTATGAATATTTTAGATTTCTTCTAATAAAGAAATCAACTAAGAATACAAGAAACAATTTAGAATTAAACATAATAATTTAGAATACAAGAAATAGTTTAGAATATAATTTCTTATAATTTGCTAACTTAGAATAAACATATTTAATTACATTATGTTTTGTATCAAAAATTTAATTTCTAATATTTACGATGTTTTTGTTTATTTGTACAGTTTTTCAAGTATGTATTCTAATATATAGTTTTTGAAAAATCTTAGATCAAGAAATTAATGTTCTCCTAATATTATACCACTTATAACTTTGTAATAATACTTACATTTTTTTTATGTACATAAATATATTTTTCAACTAGTATATTATCAAATATCACAAATGATAATTTGATTAGATTAAATGTTAGCAATTGGTTTTAAAAGACAGCAAATTTTAATGTATTAGATGTCAAATTTTAGAACTTTAAGAATTGAAAATGTATATATCTATATCTATAAAAAGAAAACACACAATGTAGCAAGTTTGAATGAGTATATAATTTTGATAAATAAGATAGTAAGAAACATTTTTCTGAATATCATGTTGAAATTCTTAATGAGTCTAAGAGGATAAAATACCAGTATACACCTTTTGTTTAAAATGAGTTTTAAGGTTTTATTAATTCTATATATTGTAATATTTTTGAATTTGTAAAGAAATCTATCAGTAATTTTACTGAAATTGTACCAAATGTCATTTATTTTTAATTTGATATATTTTATATGTGCATATTTCACCTATATTTTATTATTTTACAATATTATAAGAGATTATGCACGAAATTTGATAGAATACACATGATGTCATAGCTCCAAGTCCAAGACTATTGCTGCTGTGAGTACTTATCAAGAACTCAAAACTAGTTGTATTCTTTTATGTTAAATTCAGTATTAAAAAGGATCGAAACATATTATAAATAAATAAAGTATTAGTAAAGTAAAGGTTTTGAAAAAAATAATCTAAATATTAAAAAGAAGTGCAATAAATTTATCAAAACATAACACTCAATAAGCTTCTAAATACAGTAAATTTGTGTGGCACAAACTCCTTTTATTGAAATAAAATTCACATTGTAATTTGAATTTTTTTTATTTCAGAATATATAAAGAAAATATCAGTACAGATTTTTAAAAGATTAATGAAAAATAATCATAATCATAATCATCATATTTTTTAAAAAATTTAATACTCAAAAAAAAATCAATTATTAAATTGTAAACATCAAGTAAGCAACTCTAAGAACTTTACAGTTTTGTTACATATATTGAAAAAATAGTTTCATGTTTGCAACATAACTTATGATTATTCAAAGAGGGTGTCTTCAAAATAGTTATATTAATTATCATATCTTTAAATACATGAATAATATATATTTTTTAAATTAATTAATTTACATATTTTAAGTGTGTATGTGAATATAAATATATATATATATATATATATATATATGAAAATTTTATTAGTATTTAAATTTTTATTAGCTCTTTGATGTTTTTGAAAATATTCTAAAACATTTATTTATTACTATTCTTTTAATCCTCAAAGATTTCCCTCAAAAACATTATTTATTTAAAATGAATTAGAACATATAAATTTTAAAATTAATTAAATTTAATTTATTTATTACAAATTTCTAGAGATCTATAGTCATAGATTTTATTATAAAGTTATACAAACAATATCTGTAATGTCCTTCAAATTTACATAACATATTGAAATATACTGCAATGTTATAGGTTGTACATTTTATTATCATTACAACTAGAAAACAATTTGGGATTGGTAAGATTACCAATTTTATATATGCCTTATTTATTTATTTATTTATTTATGTATGTATTACTAAATCAATACATGATTTAATCTTGTAAAAAAAAATCTATGTATATATAAAACAAAAATGATTTGATTACTATGTAGCTCAACTATTCTTTGTGTTTGAATCAATTTTACCAGGATGGCAAATCTACTTTTAAGTCGTTTTTAAAATTTTTCTAATGAGATTTTTTGATATGAGAATTTTAAAACATTATTTCTATTATCAAATGGAGTTGCAATGGATTCTTATAGATCATTCTATTGCATTATTAAAATGCCACAATTTGGTAAATTTATATCAAAGATTTTAACTAAAATCAGTGACCACTATTTGAAAATATTATTGTTACTTGATTTCTTAAATTTTATGTACAAACTCACTTCATGTTTATGCATTACATTTAAAAGCTTATGTTTTGACAAATTAAATGTTCCTTCAAACAATTATTTTTTGAATAAAAGGATCTCTTATTATTTACTTACAAGTCATACATGTTTTTACTTTTTTCTGGTAAGGACATTACTGAAGAAGTGACATTTCTAACATTCACACTAAATAAGTATTATGTTTCATTCCTATAGAATATTAATAAATTTAGTTATCTAATATGGTTGTTGCAGTCTACATATACACAGATATAAACATACCATCATACACAAACATACAAAAGATATTAATGAATTTTAGTTATAAATTAATTTATGTAGATTTTATTGAATAATCTTCAATTAGTTTAATATAATTTATTCATTCTTTCTTTTTGAGAATAATTGTGACATCTATTATTATTATTATTATTATTATTTTTGCATTTTTGTGTTACTTGTGAATAACACACAAATTTTAAATACATGTTTAAGTTTGGAATTCAATAATCACAGAACTAATTGCACAAATTATAGTGCAGTATTGGTCTTAAGGTTATCTAATTAATGGTCAACAAAGTCCATATTTTCACTTTGAATAAAGAATCAACTATTCAAATAAAGAAGACATCTCAAAAAACATAATGACTCTATATTTCAATACATAACAAAGTCATTTACTGATGTATAAATAATAATAAGTATTTCTAATAGAAAGAGATTGTTTTTTCAAAATATTAATTATTTAGAGAAGAGAAAAAAAATTGTTTATAAATTAATTTATTATGAAATGAGGGTATTTAGCATATTTAATAGCAATTTTATTATTATTATTATTATTATTAATAAACCTATTGAAATAACAACAACAATAATAATAATGAATGTAAAATAATTTATCATTTAGTTATAACAATTAGATGCAAAAATTTATAAACATATCACAAAAAACCACAGTAGTATAATTCAATACATACATCATATTATTTTAATTTACGTTTTAGCACTCTCTCACAATTAAAGTCACTAATTTATATATGCAACAACACATGTTTAGAATCAAATTATTTAAAAATATTAAACTAAAATGTATTGGAACAATTTTCAAGCTTTGACAACAACCACACAAACAAAAATCTCATTATCTTATTAAATGATAAAGCATTCTTTTTCAAGAAATAGAGAAAGAAAGAAATAAAAATTAGCTCTAGAAATTAGAATTAAAGTCATTTAATTCTGAATTTTATGGATCATTGAAAAACATTTTAAAAGCTTAATAGAAACTTACTGTTAAACAATGTAAAAACCAATTACTCCAACCACAATGTCACTGTCAATATCCTTCAAGCATTTTGCGTACAATGTACCAAAAACGCTCAAAACTATGCTTAATATTAAATATCTATTATTATAAACTTAATGAAACAGTACTTGGTACTTTGTGTATCACAAGCGCGATACTTTCCAATGCCATGACTTTGTGTTTCCAAAGAAGAGGACCCCATCAAAGTTGCTTCAGGGTAAACCCTAATCTTTGAGCTAGCTAGGCCTCCGTGGCTGTGACGGAGCGAAGGATCACGCCCACGCGATTGCAAGGCGATGGATTGCTACCAGCCGATCCACGCCGCGACATGGATTCGAGAGGGACGAGCTTACAAGTGTTAGACGGGTGGTGACTGCAATTCGTCAGTTCGGCTGATTTGTTTCCGCCGGAATGATCAGTTCCAACACTGAACGCCTCTCGTAACTTAGGACGCATTGCAGCCATTTTTGCTTGGAACATTGATTGGCGAATTGCGAGCTTGCAAAAAAATGCTTGTCTCGCTCGTGGGACTCTGCTTTACGCTGACACGGGCTCTGCAAAGGAAAAGTTTCAAGCGAGCTGATTGCCCCCCGTAACGATGGAAAACGTCGAAATGACTAAAGAAAACACCCCACCGTGTGGCGTCGCATGGTTTCGGCGCCATGTATGAGTGTGTCTGTTACGGTGTGCTCTGTCCGTCGTGACGCTGGAGCAGAGCTTCGAAAAAGAGCCCGCAGTTGCAAATTCGGAAAAGGCCCCCGTGTCGACGCTTGAAGAGAATGTGGGAACGAGTTGCGTCCGCCGTGTCAGGAAGTAATTCGAGCCCGGGGAAAAAGTCGGGGACTGAAGAATTAGGTGCTCCAGAAATAGGGTCCAGATGGCGAGAATCCATGGAATTGGCTTCAGGATAAGATCGAGCCGCACATACAATCACTTGTGGGATAGCGAAAAGACGGAGGGAAGGACCGACGAAATTGACTAGTTGGGCGTGAGAGACTGACAATTCGACACAAGTGATGACGTAAAGATAAACTGAGGCGCGGTGCAAAATTGGGTGGACGAGGCTGACATTCATCATTTCGCGTGACTGCATCCATTTTTGAAAATCATTGTGGTCAAAATGTCCTAGGATGTCTACATCTGTAACGCCGCTAGATCTGCAGCCTGGATTGGGACACGATGAGGCCTACGCAATGGGAGGTTGAGAATTAGTTCAGAGGATCGATCATTTATCATCACACAATCGGGATGTAGGATTAATTGCGTTGCCACAAAAGCGTGGCGGGGAATGTATCCTAGTCCATCATATAATGACACAGTTAGGCTTCTTCAGGCACACAGATTCAGTTCACTCGCTCTGCAACTTTCCTTTCCACTTGGCTCCCGTATTTCCAATCTCGAGCTTTTGCTAGCGTTTCTCTGAACTGCTTTAGAACCATGGCGATCGCTATGTCCTCCGTGAGCTGCATCTCAGGTGCTAAGCTCTTCTCAACCCCAGCAGCCTACCAGGTGACTCGCCGCGCCGGCGTTCAGCGGATCAGTGCTGTGGCCGACAAGGTCTCCCCCGACCCCGAAGTTGTTCCCCCCAATGTGCTCGAATGTAAGCCCTCACCTCTCGAGCCTATCGTTTTTTAGTTTATCTTACGCATCATACTTTTCCGTGTCCGTTCAAGTGAACCATCACATTACCATGGAGGCAATGTGATTAGTCGTGACATCAATGTCTGAGGTTTATAGTATGAACACCGCCTGGAGCTTCTAGTTCGTGACTGTCAATGAGTGAACCATCGAAGATGTGTTCTTCAGTGGAGCTGCGTCGTAAGTCGGTATCTTCCACTGGCTCTGTGTTGATCAATCTCTGTATGTTTATTCCAGACGCCAAGGGAATGCCCGGAGTGTGCGCTCCATTCCCAAACATCTTCGACCCTGCCGATTTGTTGGCTCGTGCTGCCTCTAGCCCTCGCCCCATCAAGGAATTAAACAGGTGGAGGGAGTCTGAGATTACCCACGGCCGTGTGGCCATGCTTGCTTCCCTTGGATTCATCGTGCAGGAGCAGCTCCAGGACTATTCTCTGTTCTACAACTTCGACGGGCAGATCTCTGGCCCTGCCATCTACCACTTCCAGCAGGTTGAGGCCCGCGGTGCCGTGTTCTGGGAGCCCTTGCTGTTCGCCATCGCTCTTTGCGAGGCCTACAGAGTTGGACTTGGGTGGGCTACTCCCCGCTCCGAGGACTTCAACACCTTGAGGGACGACTACGAGCCCGGCAACTTGGGCTTCGACCCCTTGGGTCTCCTCCCCTCTGACCCCGCCGAAAGGAAGGACATGCAGACCAAAGAGCTCAACAACGGGCGTCTTGCCATGATTGCCATTGCTGCCTTCGTTGCGCAGGAGTTGGTCTCGGGTGAAGAGATCTTCGTGCATTTGTTCAAGAGATTGGGCCTGTAAAGTGACCGTTCATTGTAAATACCTCTCTCAACGACGAACGGCATGGGTTGTGTATTTAGAGCAGGGTGGTTAATGAAGCATCTGCACTGAGTTTATTGCAGCTAGAATTCTGATTGATTCGCAGTCGTAGCGTTGATGATATCTGCGTGTGCAGAGTGAGCTCTGCCTAATTTTTGAGGCTACAGATGCTAGTTAGGAGGTGATGCAGTGACGTTTCTCACGGTTGAGAATTGTAACATTTGCGTTCCATGTGAAAATGATTTGCAATGAAGGCAACGTTCCATAAACCCTTCTATATTGTGCGATGTCTCCATGAAGTAATGGCAACTTGTGAATTAGACCAACTTATCTGAACAAAGCGGGTATTGCCTACATACTCAAAGTATTACTAAGTTAGACCTCTATAAAATTTGAATATTCCATCAGCTGAACTATTCCAAGCTGAATAATACGATCTAAACCCGTTCCAAATCAGTAAATCGAAATGCTGAAGTGGTTTCTTCACTTAACGTCATGACAAATGTCGCCATAGCCTTCTCACCAAATCAACCAGTTGTCATCTGCTCACTGCTAATACTGTTCCCGGTTGTCACTGTCTCACATCACAATCCATCAACTAAACATCCCGTTATCCGAATCTACCCATGCAGATTCTAATCTGATCATCGTTCTCACCTCACAATCTTCACCTGCTGCAACGCATGCCGATCTTGAGCATATAACATATTCCAAGCTGGGAATCCGGATGGACCAATTATGATCCAGTATTCGATCGAGCACAGAACTGTGTCACGTGGTTGCAAAGCACCACGCCATTTACGCACTTGGGCAGTCCCAAAACTTGAGCTCTAGTGCGCCTGACACGCTGGAAACACAGTTTCGGCACGAGTTGAACGAGTGCCCTATCTTAAGGCCGATTTTAGCACAAAACATCCAAGGGCTGTGCGCAAAAATGGAACTTTCCTTCAAGCCGCCAAATCAACCCCAAACTTTCCTCCCACTGGCTGCAACACTTGTGATGTACTTGAGTTTGAAATGTAGGATGTCGAAAGAATGATGTTAGTGATGATGTAGACGTTTTTCTCTAAACTCATTGGTGCTAAACTTCCCCAAGGCCATACTCACTAACCAGATCTCTTAACTCCCTCTCTACCCTTAGGAATCCATGTTTTGTAAACAAATCAGGTTTGTTGGTTGTTCCAACAGAGAAGATTCACAACTCTCCACCACCAGACTTAAGATGAGATTCTATGTACACTTATTTTAGGGTTTCACAGAAACTAAAAAGAAAAAATATCATATACATCCCTCAAATTTATTGATTTATCAAGAATATCCCTATATTCTTGATAATAGCAAATATATCCCCCTAATTTGTGATAATAGCAAATGTACCTTTGATGGTGATAAGATATCACCAACATTTTCTATTTAGTTGTCATTAGAGGCATAAATTGTACTTTTTGCAGATTTTGCTATGCTTCTTTTTGACTTTTCAAGAATTAGAAAAATCTTGCTTTCTTTTTTCGATTTCTAGACTACTTGCAATGAAAATTCTTGGTGACACTTGGCTATGGCAATGCTTTCCATTCTGTGGTAATTGCATCCTTCAAATTGCATACTACTGCCATCATCAACTCACTTGCAAGCCTCTACATCTTAAGATACAAATGTGACTTATGATTACAAACAGGCTCTATAGTGATTTTTTTTTTTTTTTTTTTTTTTTTTTTTTCTTCTTTTCTTTCTTTCTTTCTTTCTTTCTTTCAAACATCATATTAAGCAATGTTTCAACAATGGAATCAAATTGGTTTGTTTCAAGTTAAGCAATTATGTCCAATATCCTTTCATTGACTACATCTAAACACTCTTTTGACTATTTTCATATCTTTTATATAGATACAATGCTTCTTTGAGTGGCCAAGTGGATGTCATGTCAAGGATGGTAGAATCAAAGCAACATCAATTTTGTTGTTGCTTAATTTTGTCTAATTCTCAATAGATGGTGTTAAAGTGATAGATATTGCATAAATCACTTATTGACCTTAAACAATATGAAAGGAAGTAGTATAATTAAAAACTGATTGTTGCATGAAGAGTAGAGCACTAATTGCATGCATACATGAGATTCTAAACAGTTGCCACTAATTGCAAGTGTATGTGCAATTTTATAAATCCAAAACATTGAGTAATTGCTCCAACAAACATTCAAAGTTAGTATTAGATAATAGAATGAAGTGATAGCTGCATGCAATTATATACGAGTATTTGATTTCTTGCTTTGTACTAGTTGATAATAGTCTAATAATTGTAATGGAAATGATACATTTTTTATTGTCTTATACTATGCACTACTACCAAATTATCTCAAGGATTAGAATCAATAGTATTTCTTGCACTTCTAAGATCCAAGAATTTAGAGATTTTGTAATATTTAAAGTTATGTAGCCAAATTTATTTTTGTCAAACTATGATGATGCCTAATATTATGGTTTAATGCTCATCAATTATTCTACAGCTTATTTAGATGCAATACAAACTTTTGATAATTTAATGTTGAAAATTTGGAACAATTAATGCTTGTATTGGTGATTAAAGATGTCATACAAGCATAGGATTTTTGAATTGTTGTTGTAAGTTTTTAACTAAATGGCATATGCAAAATGTATATTTGTATATTAAAAATGCATAGTTGATAATAGTAATGAGAATTTTTTTTATTAATTAAAAAAAGATATAAATTTTAGAAGTTTGTAGTTTAGTGGATGAGATATAAGAATTTGTATCTTCATCTTTTCTAAGAACCACAACTAGTTGTTGTCATTTCAACATTCAGAATATTAAATAGTTGCACCATTGTATCAATTGTTGTAGGAGCAAGGAATATCCTACTATATCTTCTTTTAAGATAAGTATTATCTATGCTAATGATAAATTAACAATGTTACAAGTCATATAAGCTTGCATGGTTGGTAGCAAAAAATTGAAGAAAATATATATATATATATATATATTTTTATTGATTTCTAATTTTATATAGCTTCAAAGATTCTTTATTTTGATTTGGTAATAATATGCTTTCAAGTTGATATATCTATCTTCATAGGAATCAATTGGCTCAAAAATAATTTTTTTTCTTCATTGCTACTTGATCAAATAGAATATTGTAAAACCTTCATTATATCAAATATCTTTTTGAATATCTATAGCTCTATACTATGGGGTGTTGTTAAATTTGTTCCTCACATTGCCTACTATCTAATTGATGTGAGCATGTTGATTGTTTAAGTGCTCAACACCAATACTTGTGTATTCAAAGATAAATGTTCAAATGACAAATTCAATTGTACTTGTCAATTGAGATTGTGACACATGTAGTCTCTATTTGGAAGTGTATTGTGATATTTCACAATATATCTCATTTGGTTGGACTTGATTATAAATGTTTCATAATGGTTGCTAATTGCATCATGACTAATAACTTCATTCAATTCCTTACTACTACTGAAAACAACATCCATAGTAAGAAAATTGATCATTTTGAAGTATGATTCTTGTTCACAAAAAGTTCTTGAGAAGTATGGTTCCTGCAACACACTTTTTATTCTTATTCCATGCTGAAGCACACTCCTCTGATTAGTTATCACAAGGGCTATTCAGATTGTTGTGTGAGAAACACAAAAAATACTAGAATCAAGAAACGTGCAACTTACAAATTAGACAAGGTGTGAGCAAGTGTGTGGAGATTACTCTCTCAACTTCAAGTATATTTTAAGTCATTTAAAGTGAATAGTTGTCTCTAAAGTTTTCTTGATTCGTAAACACGTTAGTGCTTCTTGGAGCTGGCTACCGCCTTCCTTGCCTGCCGCCTCTCTTCTCTGATCAAGCTCAAATTATGGCTTGGCCTGAAATTAATGCTCGGAAGATAATCTGAAACAATGATGGTTTCTCCTTGCTCTTTGCTCAACAACAATGTATCACGATCAGTATGATTGGTACTGTTTCTACAGACTAGCCTTAAACACAGAGGCACAAGAGTAACACATGATAAATTTCAAACAACTTTTAACTCTAGATTTCAAAGAAGTGCTCAATACTTGCCTTGCCTTGACTGAAGTCCATCAACTGTATCTCAGCGAACCTGACTTAGCCAATTTAGATATACAAAAGGTTGGAAATGCCCTCAGCATGGACTGGCGCTTTAGGAATACTACCTAGCGCTCAGTTACGATGGCGATCAAACGCTGCATATCAAGTTCCTCTCGATCAGCCAGAAGCTTTGCTTAGACAGCAGCAGCTGCCATTGCACTCCCTACAGCCCGATTTACATGGGCACTGCTCATATGTTCCTCAGTAAGATTGTGGAGACCGACATGGGCGTGGCACAAACTTTCCTTGGAAATTACAGTGAATATGTGTTGGATAAGGCGGCGTGGGTAGAGGCTCAGCGCATGGTATGGGAGAAGCAGCAGAAGGAAATCTTTCGAACTGAGGAGATGATTTATCGGCTCAGCAGTGGAGCTAATTCTGGTCGTACAACATCTGCCGTTAAGGTACTGCTATTTAACATTTCATATTCTTTGTCAAAGGTAGACGTGATGGAATCTTTGTGAGACCAAGGAGATGAAGCTGCCCCTGTTACTCTCAGTGACTAATTATCAGCGAGACTAGGCGAATGGGGGACTTGCTAGCTGTGGATAGTTGTGGTGCTGCGGTGGAAAATTTTGGGTCAATTTTCAGTCAGGTCATAGGAGAGGAATGCCTCTTCCTCAGCACAAAGAACAAGCAGGTCGGAGGCAAGTCGCTCCAAGGTCTTCAAGTGGATAAATATCTCAGGCAGCTAAGGATAAGCTTAGACGCATCCAACGCCGAGAGGAGGAGGAGGAGCCTCAAGTCTGCGAGAGATGACTGTGGAGGAAGAAAGTAGTTCAAACCGCAGCTCAAACCTACTTCAGTGCTCGACTGCGTGCAACGGCAGATTCTTACCTCCCAAGAGCATGCAATTCGAAGGATGCGAGCACCGCAGCAGGAAAAGCATTTGCCGCAGCCGGTTATTAGATATAATACTAAGATTTGTAACATATCTTAGTTTAAATTGTCTTTATGAATTATATATAGAGTTTGGATATATATATATATATATATATATATAAATAAAATAAGCAAATTGTAAACCTTTGATCCTTTTACATATTACAACATTATTGTATCAATGTTAGAACAATCTAGACTTCTAATTATCATGTGATTCTAATTCCAACCTATATGTTTGTTCAAAGACTTGGATTA